TCTCACGCAAGATGCGTAATGGCCTGCACCATAGGCAAGCACTCCATAGCTTGCATCTCCTAGATTGATTTTTACCCATTTTCTCGTAACGAACAATGGGCCTAACCCGCTTAGTCTCTCCCTGCTCCTACCCACTTTGGGGCGCTCCATTCCCCCCCCCGCTGGTTCAACCAGCGAGCGCGCGTTCTTGAAATGGAGCGGTTCTGGCTGAAGACACTTGGAGAAATTTTCAGGGTCGCCTACAGGACGATACTAACGCGCAGCCGCTAGTTTTCAATCTAGAACAAAAAGCCCCCCAAAAAATCCCGCACACAGACTATGCTGTGGCAATGAATGAAATACCCCAAAAATACATAAATAAACGAATCCCCGTGTACACTTAAGTGCTGCCCTGGGCTCGTTACGCAGATGAAAAGACAAGACTCACCAGATTAGGTTCTTTTTGGTCTTGTGTGGCAAAAGGATTCCTTCCGTGCGTGGACGAGCGCGCTCTCCTTTGTCTCCAAAAAGGAACAGAGGCTGGTGATCCAGGTCGGCCAAACAAAGCCGCTCGTCCCGCCGGAAGTATCCCATGCCAAGACATGTCAGCAACGCCAAATTGTGGAGGAATAAAACACCCCAATGCAGTACAAAAAACTCAAAGATGTTTGTCATAGTCAAAAGCGTAAGTTTAATGGAATCACACGCGCGTGAGGAGAGAAGCAGACACATACCAACAGGTCGTATCTCCTAGCTCTGGGGGCCGAGCCCCCAGTCTCGTGTATACAGAGCAACAAGAAAGTCAGTCCCGCCCACAACAGATTGGAGGGGGCCACAGCCTGCTCCACACAGGAAGCGCCGGCACCACCCCCTATGGTGTGTCCTGCATGGGGTGTGAGCAGACAAGACAATGGCCATAATATGGAGGAGGCAAAAGGGTGTGACAGGGCAGCAGGGACCCTCAGGAAGCACAGCATGGCGTCAGAAGGGCGTCTCTGCATCTGAAAGGCCCTCCACGTCCGCGTATTGGCTGTGGCTGGTTATGATGTGTGACTACTCTGAAAACTGTCATCACACTGGTCAGTGATAATTACTCTGCTTTGTCTTTATCCCAAAATCAACTCCTCAGCGAGTGTCGTAACTGAGTCCTGTTTATGATGGAAAGGATTTAGGGGTGGATCCAAACATGGCCAAACATGAAGACTGAAATATAAAGATTTTGGTTGAAAATACTTGCTGAAAGGTTGAATATAAAATGGCAACGGTTCAATTAATGCTAACTAAAATATAAAGCTGCAGTTACCGTATATACATCACAATTCACATGTTCATAGAGTTTTTTGTTTTGCTTTTTTTTAAATAGTTAACTTATTTCATTATCGTTAATCTACCAAAATATAGATTGAAGGCTAGTGATGGGAGGCTTCTGGATAAAAGATTACAGCAAAAGGCAGCACAGTGGCCCCGGGTCCATCTTCCGGGCCTGGGTTTTTCTGCGTGGAGTGTTCATGTTTCTCCCTGTGTCGGGGCGGGTTTCCTCCGGGTGCTCCGGACATGCACCATATAGGTATAATCCCCCCGCTCTGGTCCAGACAAAGAGCATCAACTTCTGGAGGTTGCTTCACTGTGGCGACTGTGGCTTCTGGCAGCTTGCTGTGGTGGCCTCGCAGGATGGGTCAAATGCAGGGGACGACAATTCCCTATGAATGTAATAAAGTGTGTTTTGTTTGTGCATCTGAGATTAGTCAAAACAAAGGGAGGTTAGTAACAACAATAATATAATTTAATCAAAGAATGATTTTGCCGGTTTTAGTGAAGAAAAGTTCCTTGTTTATTTTGCAGGGACATTGCATATTAATGAACACACCTCACTGTCGGCTCAGTTATTTTTCACCATTTACTGTCCATTTCATTTTTAAACAGCTTATATTGTAGAAGTAACAAAACATAAAAAAATATTTAAAAAACATTTTAAAAAACTTGGCATATTACCCGCTAGAAAAGAACCTGGTGAACTGAAATGTACTACTTTTTACCTTATCAGGACTTTACTTTACTGTTGAAATGAGTACTTTCACAAAACAAACCCCACAGGAAGCAGCTAAATCAAATAACGGACATGTATAATACTTCTCCAAATGAAATAATATTGATATTTAACAATATAATTCCTCATTAAATAGTTGGGAAGTTTATATAAAAATGTGCCAATACTTTTCCTATTCACTTAATCTCTTGAACGAATGGCAAAATCAATCCATTTTGTTCAGTTCAATATATATATCACTATTAGGACGTAATCTTGACCACGGCCCTGAATTACAAAACAGACATTTTCATCAACAATCACTTTTTCTCTTCTTTCTCTTACTAATTAAAGCAAAATTGTGACAAAACAAGGGTGTTACAGTTTTCTTGGGCCAATGTTCGTCTGTTGTCCCTTACACGTACAGAAAGATTGAATTTAATTATATAAAAATACACACTTTGTAGATCATGTTAGCACAAACCAACAAAGTGTAAGGGTTAGGGTTAGTAACGTATATGTAAAGTAACAATAAAACAATACATTAGCAATAAATGAACAGTTAAATCTAAATTAACAATATTATATATAAATAATTATTTCACCTACATACAGTTTATTTATTTTATTCACGCTCATGTTATAATAGATAAAAATCAAGTGTACGCATAAGAACAATAGCACCACCTTTGTTGATTTCCACAACTGATTCATTGAACATCTGTGAGAAAACATACGTGTCGTTATGGCAACATTTGGGCTGGATTCTTATTTCCAGAAAAAAATGACTCCAAAGACTTTGTTCAACCTTTACTTCTGCTACAGACATGTTATATGAATGACCTTTGCATTTCAGATGATCTAACTTTATTGCACTAATGAATATAAATCAAATATATCAATTAAATTAAATAAATCTTAGAAGTTGGGCTTAAATAAATCTGTGAGTGTCTTCACTCTCACATAATCTTATTTCTGCTGTGATTTACTGTCCTGTAACAATGTGTAAAATTGTAAAAGTGTAGGGTGATTTATTTGCACTATTGACTTAAACGCCTTTTCTCTCTCTATTGCAGATTTTATTCATGAATAAAATAGATCTTTTTCAAGACAAGATTTTACACTCGGGTCGACACCTGCGCCTGTATCTGCCACAATTCAAAGGTTGGTGACACACAAGTGTAATGATAAGTAATACATGTTATGGCACAGTCGTGCAGTGGTTAGCGCTTGTGCTTCACAGCAAGAAGGTTCTGTGTTCGATTCCACCTCTACAGTAGGCCTTTCTGTTGGAGTTTTCATGTTCTCCTTGCGCCTGTGTAGGTTTCTTCTGGACGCTCCGGTTTCCCCTACCACTAAAAAAACATGTACAATAGGTCTTCCGTTCTCTCTGTGTGGAATGAGAGATGAGTGTCCAAAAAACAACAATTGTAAAGTGCCTTGTAATGTTTATTTATTTATTTATTTATAAAGCGCATTTTACAGACCAAGGTCACCAGCGCTTTTACAATGTTCAGAGTTCAGATATTGTTCCAATCATTCCACACACGGTGATGACAGAAGCGAGTCGCCGAACACACTGGCGCATCAGCCTCCAATCAACACCATCCATTCACTCTCTCATTTACATTCATAACTATTCTGCATGTTTTAGAGGTAGGGGAAACCGGAGCACCCGGAGGAAACCTGCGCAGACACAGGGAGAACATGCAAACTCCACTCAGAAAGGCCCTGTTCCGACTTGTGACTCTTGTCTGTGAAAGGTACTATATAAATAAAACGACTTATTAATAAAAACAGTTGTGGAGACTTGCTCATGTGTGGCGGCGGATCCCTGCACTCAGCGTTTGGCACCACCTCTGTACAAACCACTTCAGCCTCGTGCAAATGTCATTATTATGTCAACCTCCTGGGACTGGGGTCATTTCTCTGAGTGAACATTCCACATGGATGTAAAATGTCATGAATTGTACAAATAAACTGTGACGCCCTAAGTGTGCACGAGGATCGTAAACGCCATGACGACATTATACACCGTTTGGATCAGTGTTAGATTGTGATATTTGGACTTTTAAGGTGCTAAATCATTCAGATCAAATGTATTCTCACATGTGATCTTGTTTGTGATGTTTGTCAGGACTTTTCACATTTGACACGTGTCGGAATACAAGTTTTCTGTCCGCTCTCAAACTTGCTCAAACAAATCCTTGCTCGGACTATGATGTCATGGACCTGTTCTGCTTTGATAAACATTACACTGTCCTCACAAGACTAAAACAGCACCAGTTGAACATTTTCATCAAATGTGTTTTTCAATAGCAAAGTTTTATGTGATAAAATATTTCAAAGCACAAATGTTATTTGACAGCCTTATAATAAAATGATGAATGGAGAAAAGGAATTAGATTCAAGATCATTCATAATCAAATGAAGACTGAAAGTGTGTGAGCAGCTTTATAAAATCAAACTGTCTGAATATAGCCAGATTAATGGCTCTTCACAATTGAGTTTATGACTTTTTTTTATATAAATACAATGAACATCATATCCATTATATTTGTGTTTACTGTTTTAAAGCGGAATATCCAATCAGTGCGCAGAATGACGAATAGCATCATGCATTGCACACATTAGATAATAAGTATTCATACGGAATACGCACTTTGTCTAAACCCCCACAGGTGATTTTTCATCTGTAGTCAGTGCTTAGGAATCTTTGCCACAGCAACTTTGATTCAATTAGAAAGACTTTATTAAATCAGTAAATATTTGCATTTGTAAAGTGACTTCTCGCCGCAGGTGCAGACTGTGACGTCGACGCAGCCGCCCGGTTCATCGCCGCCACTTTTGTCTCTCTGAATAAAACTCCAAACAAACTCATCTACCATCACTTTACCACGGCAACAGACACTTCCAACATTCAGGTGGTGTTTCAGGTCGTCATGGACACCATCATCAAAGAGAACCTGGAGGCTGTGTCGCTGTTGTAACACGAAGTGACATAAAGTGTGTCCAAATGAATTTAAGGTCACCAAAGGGCGGACTCTCATGTACCGATGGAGCTGCTCAAACTCTGAAGACATAAACGGATCAACTAAACATGGACTCATATGTGATGGATATGTGCGTGTCTTTTAGTTGCTCTGGAAGAGTGGTATGGTCTGGACTTTACCATAATTAGACCAACATTCTTACTTTGTGACAAACTTTTCCCTCATATTAAGTTGCTTTTCACTTTCGAAGTTGGCCTGAAAACATTCATATTCTAATTTAACCTGTGACTTTGACAAAGGACTCGAACAAAGGGGTATTCGTCGGTGTATGCTGTAGGTCTCCTTGTGCTCCTGTGTGGGCAGGTCTCAGAGGAAGTGTGCCTGGTCGTGCATACAGTGTTTGCTCTCATCAGTCACTACGTCTGCGTCACCAGCTCTTCCTAATGACCCGATCATCGGTGTAAAAGCACCTCCTGTGTTGACTCTCATTCGCCCTCAAACTCACTCATGTGGGACTCACTTTGTAATGAGAAATTTAAAAGACTCATTCTGTTATTTACCTAACATGTTTTGTTGTTCAAAATAACTGTTGAATTGGGTGAAGATATAAAACTGTTGAAAATAGGACATTCCAAGAACGGCTGTAAAGATGCATTTGTAGTGTTATTGAGCGGTCGACCTGATGTCTCATTACCATCATCTAATGAATAAACAATGAACAAGGTTTGGGTTTGTTCGTTTTAATAAATAAAATAAATAAACATAAAATGCTCTGCAGTAGACCCTTTGGACATTTAATAGACAGTTACAAAAAAGTCAGACAAACATTAAAAAAAATATTTTGAGACAATGCTCAACTGAACATCTTTAAGTTTCTAACAAACTAAACTGTTTTAAACGGGACATTCAGAGTCTGGTCCATCAGTGAAGGGTTCTCTTTTGGACCCTTCCCGGGTCAGGTGTGGAGTCAGGTGGACAGACAGTCCAGAGAGTCCAGCGTCAGGAACACATCCGCTTTGCACTGGAACGTGCCCGTGCCGTCCCGCAGCAGCTCACAGCTCTTCAGGTTTGGAGAGATGTCTTTTACACAAATGGCCTGTCAGGAAAAAGCATTTCATTTGCACTGGTTCCGTGGTTTAGTCTCAGTATACAAATTATTTAAAAATGATAAGACATAGAATAAAACCAATAATAACATAATGAAAAAACGCAAAACACATTTGTAATCCTTGTTGGAACTAAAGCACGCATTCAAACTTTAATTCTCAAACTTTCTCCAAATGACGAGGACAGTGCCTTGTTTGATTCTAAAGTTACTCACCATGTTCTTGAGGACAGAGACCTGCTTGTTGGGGTCTGGGATCCCGTTATTCGCGCTCTCATCCCCCTCCAGCAGCTCCTCAGACTCGGCCCTGCGCACGTACGGTGACCTCCTGATGCCGGACAGGAGCCCTGAGGCGCGGCCCACGGAGTAGTAGCTGGGCCCGGTGGACTGCTTGTACCACGCTTCTGCCGGATGCACCGTGATGAGCAGAGACACACACACGCACACCACTGCGAGCCGCACGGACCGTTCCATGTCTGATTCTTTACACGAAGGCGAAGATGCGCTGATCCTTTCTCTGCTCTGTGCACTTTGCCCGTTTGCTGGAGGCAAAACTTTGAGCGGCTTTTATAGGCTGTGCTGCGCCACGCACGCTATTGTGGTCCTGGGCGTTCGTCAAATCAAAAGTTAGGTGGGCGGATGATCGGTGAGGGGAAAAGAGCAATCTAAATGGATCTGTTTGTGGTGGGCTCTAGTGCGCGTGACAATGCGCGCGCTGGGACGGAGACGTGTAGAAACGTCAAAGCATCTGACGCTCAACAAGCTGAACGTGAAAGGAAAAGGACTCAATTCAGCGGCCTGTGAGTTTAGAGAAACAGCCTGTTTTAAATCTACATCATTTGCACAATTACTTCTATCGAGTCTTAATCTCACATTAATTATTCGGCCTTATACAAGATCTATTCAGGTTGTTATTAATTATGATACTTGGCTGATTGAATAGTTATTGAATATATGAATTGAGCACTACTTCAATGTCACAAAACGTGTATCACATTCCTGAACAATATCTTGGAATGCAGTGGCTTCAAGTGAATACTTACCCAGAATTGAGTAAAAGTCAGAATTGGGTAGAAAAGTCAATAAGAGACTTAGCCGTGTTTCTCTTTCAACCATGTATATATTTTATTAAAAAAATCTAATATGTTGAGGTTTTTTAATCATATTTTTCCTATTGTCTCATTGTATTATTGATGTGTGAATGTTCTGCTTTTTTCATCATTTATTGGAGCTGCAGAGACAGAACAATTTCCCTTGTGGACTAAAGCATCCTCTCCCCTCTTGTAAAGGGTGGCCGAGCTATACTACAAAGCAAAAGTTTGTGAAGAGTAGCACTAACAAGATTATTTATTGGTATTTATTGATTTTAAGTCATGGATCCAAACTGGAAAAAAGCTAATTCCATTTCCCATGAATTACTTGAGCTGGATCTCACGTCAAAGACTCCGCATGTGAGGAACAGCCTGTATCGGTATAAGCCAATTTCCAAATTGATTTACACATAATTTACTCTTTAATATGCAGTAGTCTCTAAAACAAACAAAACAGATTATTGGGGGTCTGGAAATAGCAAAATGAATAACAAATGATTTAAAAAGATCAAATTATTCTTTATTCAACCAAAACAAAACACTTAAGTAAAATCATTTGTCCCATAAAGAGTAAGTCATATCATGGGGCTCCTTAATGGTCCATTAGAGCCCATTGTGGAGTGGTCTGCAGCGCGGCTCCAGCTTCTCCTCCAGGACCTGGTCGGGACCACAGACCCAGGGGTCTCCAGTCGCCCACTGCCACTTGAGCAGCTGCTGCCTGAGGCTCAGCAGCACAGGCCTGTACTCCACGTCAGAGGCCAGGTTCTGTATCTCCAGAGGATCAGACCTGCACAAAAACAAACAAATCTCATCTTCGTTTTTTTCTAGCAGACAATGGAGCAGTGGTTCTCAACTTGTGGGCCATTCCTAAATACTGTATGTATTAACTACACTGAAAAAAGTTGTAGAAAGAAGTTTAGATTTTCTCTAAATAAATGTGTGTGTCCCTAAGACATAAAAATCAACTGAAAATTAAATACAGTTTAATTTACATTTATTATGTAAATCCTTCCCCATCTGTAGATTGCAACATAGATAAGGTACTTAAGAGATGTAGAAGTGATTTTAAATTACATCTACATCTTTTATATATTTTCTCAGGTATGTAGGAAATATGTACAACTCATGATGTCCATAATATTTATGTTTATAATTTTCAAGCAGATAATCCAATCAGAGAGCAGAATGAGGCTCTCATTTGGGTTGCGCGGTTGTTTGGTGATATTATGATAACAAAAAAATTAAGCATCACGCAATTGTTTAAATGAAAGCAAAAAAAAAAGCTGTTATATGTAATACACAGTGTTTGTGTTTCAAGCTGAACCGCAGCATGGATTATGGTGTGTGTAATCAGTCTGTAGTTTTGTGTGAGACTTTATTAGACCAGTAATGGTTCATATTACATATAATCTCTGTAACTCAATAGCAAATGTACTTATTGCAAAAATGTTGGAATGTATTTCTTGATTCCAGTCTGTTGGCATTATTGTGTTTGCTTTGTAGTATTATTAGATGTTTATATATCAATATAAAGTGAAAAAATACATTATTTTACATTACTTATGTGCAAGATACGTATGTGCAAGATTCAGTTCTTATTTGGGTCGTGACTCAGCGTTATATGTTGATGGACTGTAATAGATACGACATGTATATGAATATGACCAGAACAAATAACCCTAGACACTACAGTATGTTGCTCTGCTTTAATCTGAGCCACCCACACGATCACCTGTCAGTATAGGCAAGTACAGCGGGGTCAGAATGGGACAGACCTGGTGTCATACAGCTCCCAGCGCTCCCTGTAGTAATACTGCTGTAGAGTTTTGAACCAGTGAGTGGTTTCTCCAGCCTGCGTCCGGTTTAGGATGTCCTGAAAGGTGGGAGACACGTAGAAGTCCTGGTCAATGGGAAAGGGCATACGATAGTGGAGGTTGTGAAGAAGATGGTAGGCCCCCTGGTGGACAGAGCGCATTGGATAGAACATCGTCACCTGAGAAGGAAATAGATTTTTTAATGTAATGAAGTATGTCTGATTGCGTTAAACCTGGAGTACCTAATTTATAGACAATAAAAATGTAACTATGTAATAAAATCCATCAAGTACCCATAGCTATAACAGTAGTTTTGATGGATGGATTTTATGCCTGCATTTTTGGCTTTGGATCAGATTTTTGAGTCACAAGTTTCTGTTTGGACAAATAGAATGTATTCATGAAATGTATTATTCACATACTTCATGTAGAGACTGACTGGCGAACACTGTGTCCCATGTTCTGGGCTCTGTGATCAGAGCAGGGAGTAAAGAGCGTCCTGTGAGGTGGACTGGAGCAGAGGGGCTGCTGGGAAGGCTGTAGGATGGGTACGGGACAGAAAACCAGTCCAAAACAGTGGGGGTAATATCTGCACAGAAAACAAAGATAAAACATTTACCCCCACACGCTTCTTGTCTCCAGGAGCCTCTTACCCAGCAGGCTCACATAGGCCGCACTGCTCTGCCCCCAGCGCTGCCTGTGCTCTGGGGACGACACCAGCATGGGCTCTGCCGTCCCGGACCGGTACAGGTTAGTCCTTCCATTTGGGAACGGGATGCCATTATCTGAACTGTAGATGATCAAAGTGTCGTTGTCGTAACCAGCTTCTCGGAGCTCCTGCAAAACCAGACCTATGCCTTCAGACGAGAAGGATCATTTATTAGATTCAGATTCAGTTTATTTGCCATTTGCAGTAAAAAAAACCACATTGGAAAACATTAGCAAAAAGTCACCAGTGTGCACAGACAAATACAGACATAACACAACATTAAAAGTACAGAAGTAAAACAAATAAAACAGTAAACAAATGTTTATCCATCCGTTTTTTTTTTTTTTCACTAAACATGGATACAACTACAACTAACTTAATATTTATTTTATTGAGCACTTCAGTAGAAATCCAGTTCCCTCAAATCTCCTGAGACACAAAAAATAGCCATGTTTTTCTTCAGTAACTCACCAAGTTGAAATAACCAAACCGTTTGTGATTTCTGGGACACAATGAATGAACCTTTAATGCCTTGAGGGGACTTTACCATAGTAAGAGGTTAGTGTATTCTATATAAGTACATTACAAAATATCATTTTGAAAAGTGAAAAAACAAAACATAAGAAAATGATTTATTTAGATTTATATATAGATATTGACATTTCAAGATTGTATTTCTTGTAATTTCTCGTAACGTTTACATACTAGTATAAATTACCGTTGTTTGAAAATAACACACAACAGATTCAACTGAATTAAAACATATATTACCCTGGTCAAGCCGGCTCACGGTGGTGTACTGAGCCGCTAAGTCGGCTCGAGCTGCCGGTGTGTCTGGAACAAAAGTAGGGACCTGTGAAGAAAGACAAAAGTAACAATAGCTCACTACAGTACAGTATTTTTAATTCATATGACTGATTTATTGGTGAAGTTGAAAAGCAGCACAGGGATTTCACCACTTACCCATCTATTCCACATTGCTAAAACTGCGTCCAACATACTGGTGATATTAATGGTGATAAACAGGTGGTCAGACTTGCCTTGACCTGATCTGGGGTATAGAGCTGTGGTGTCCAGTCAGGGATCCTGCCCATTCCCTTTTCTCCATTTCCAAACTTCTCACAGAAAGCACCAAACTGAGGCTGTGAGTGTCCACACCTGTGCGTGTCGTGGAATGCCACATAGAGAAAAAAGGACCTGTCTTTTTGTCCAGGCTCCCTTTTCTGTGCTTTCTCTTTATGTGTCTGGAAAAACTTTCGCACCAAAAGTTTGATTCTAGTGATGTTTCTTCCGACTTGAAGCACTGAGTTGTTCTCTTCTGTGTAGGCGAAATCGAACGGGTAGACAGACCCTGGTCCAACATGCTTCTTACCTATAATTCCTTTACCACATTGTCAAACAGTCAGTATTTAATTTAACTTAGTGACAATAAAATAAATATTTTACCAGTGTGTACATCGGCTTTACTGAGAAGCAGCGGCAGGCTTTGCACTCCATCAAAAGAGTTGAAATGATGGACTCCCTGATGAAGGCCATACATGCCATTCTGGTGCTAAAAAGGGTTATAAAAGCATTACCAATTACTCTTTAACATCATGAATAAATGCTTTACTTTAAAAAAGGATGTTCAAAAGTCAAATGTACAAAACATTGAATAGGAGGAAGTTATCCCATACAATTGGCATTGTTTTAAAGACTTACAATTGGGCAAACGTGTATGTTGCTAAGCTCTGGAAATCTTCAAACTCATTTAACAAGACGACATTATGATAGAAGCTGTAGTGTTCAATTATGAGATGAATGGAGTTATAAAGATAGGATAGGATGGAACATTGTGCAATAAAGACTGCATAGGTGGAATATGATCTTGTGAGATTATTTCCCAGTGTGTTTACTGTAGTGTGGCCTTAAACCTGTTACATTGGGGACAAGCCATTACTGGGCCAAGTTACTTTGTGTATGTGTCAAGAGGTGCTCTGCAAAGCAATAACATCTCCCTGGCAAGAAGCAGGTGCAGATGCACACAGACAAAAAGTGCAATTTCTCCCTCCAAAATGTCGACTTGTTTTGTTGGCGGATAATTCCTGTCTCATCCCACCCCTAGTAGTGGGGTAAAGCCCATGTGTGAAATGCTCAGTGGGGAGGGAGAGTTACTTGTGGGAGTCCAGTGAGGATGGAGGAGCGACTGGGCGAGCAGCTGCTGACGGACGTGAAGGCGTTATTGAAGAGCAGACTGCGTTTGGCCAAAGTGCGCAGGTTTGGAGTGTGCACCACTGAGTTATTGTACACTTCAGTCTCAAAACCGGCATCGTCAGCTACAAAACAACACGGGAAAAAGGATGGTAGCAGAGACATGCTCACCAGACAATAATATTTGAACAAGATAACACACAATTATTTGATTGGTAAATTGAAAGTTGTTGAGAGAAATGTGATTAAAGAGCTTGAAAGTGGTTTACGGTTAAATGTAACATGCTGGTAGGACCGATAAAAAATATATTGCCATTGTATTTATGTATGTATTTTTATTCCAAAAGTAATAACACATAGGAACTACTCAGTATTTGTATATAAGAGGTTGCGCTGTAATAGTCTCAGTAAAATATATTCACACGGAGCACAGATCTTCAGGGGGACAATTGTTATTATTGTTTATCATAGTCATAGACCTAGCCTATTGTGTGTGTGTGTGTGTGTGTGTATGTGTATATATGTGTGCTTACTCTTTGAAAATAAATGTAAAAAAAATAACAAACGAGTGAATCCATTAGTCACTTAAACATTGTAACACCCACTCACCGATTATAAGAAGCACGTTTCTCTTTTGCGCTGTGCATCGTAAAAGCAGTGAGAAAAACAGGAAATTAGATAAAAGCATGGTACGAATGCAGGTTTGTGGTGATTTACGATTAACCGCAAACACATAATTTCTCCAAAGCAAATATTAAACTGCTTCTGTCATGTTTTGCAAGGTAAGAATGTCATAAAAGTATTGTAAAACTCCACTTCCCTCCTACTTCCGCAAACACCACAGGCCCCGCCCACTTTGCCATATGACAGAAATCACGTGGGTTCGGTTGTTGTGCGGTTTTTGTGTGAGAGGAACTTAAAAAGGGATCAGAAAATCACTGTCAAATCCCTAAATAATGCGGATCAAGAGGACCCAGGGCATGGTAATGTAAAAGATACGATTATTATGCAAATGTCTGTTCTGAACGGGATGTTACACGTATACAATTACTAATATCATTGTTATAACTGTGTATCAGGAAGCATGTGTTGCCAGGCATGTATTAAACTTTCATTGCCTGTCATACGAGTAGAGTTAAGCGTCTTGTTTAGTAATTACTAATCTGTTTAATCATAAGTTACAAGTTCTCGCTCCAAGAATTGCCATTGCTCTGTTGGCTTAGTTTTTGAATCAGGTGCAAGACTATATCATATATTTTAAAGGTGGGGTACCTAACTCTAAAACCACAAACATTTTAACTCTGTAATAAACCCCATCTCATCAGTTCTTTCATCATTGTCAAGAAAAACACCATCCTCACTCAACTGTCTGATTTTAACAATGTACTTTTAAAGGACTCTTACTGTTAGGCACTGTGCTTTCCTTGTGACGGGAACATGTCAAACCAGAAAAATATACTTTGTGTCTATCTTTAGGTTTCCCAACATGGATGGCAGATCTACTTGAATTTGTTTAATACAATATCAATTTAACATGCTTTTGGAAAATACACCAGCAGTAATTTGTGGAGAGTGTTGTTGTGTGGAGAAACTGTTCACAAATAAAGAGGATATTTGAGTTTTCTGGTGAGTATTTTATGTATAGTTCATTTTTATATGTTTATTTAAAGCATTAACCCAAGTATCTCTGTAGCAGTAATACAATGGACCAGTCCTTGTTGAGTAGAGCCTCTCCCTCGCGCTGCTGCTCTCTGAATGTGGTGAAGTCTTGGCTGCCCATCTTGTCCTGGCTTCCACAGTACAACCTGAAATGGCTGCAGATGGATGTGCTGGCAGGTCTCACTGTGGGACTCACCACCATCCCCCAGGCTCTGGCCTATGCTGACGTGGCTGGACTCCCTGTGCAGGTCAAGATTACTGTAACAAAGCAGTAATTATAATATATACTATATATCAGACACTGCTTATACTTCGTAATAATTTTAAAACTATATCCTCTGCAGAGAAGTGCACCTTTGTTCTCCATAATAGACTCAACAATCTTTTATGACATTATGTAAATACATTGAACCGAACCTAGCGGTGAGATATGGGACAAGATTCAAATTGCTCACATGGATGGATGGATGGAAATGGATGGATGGATGGAAAATTATGTTGAAATGTAATTACTCTGCAAAACCTTGCTTGATTGTTATATATCATAGAACCTGTAGTTACTTTGAAATGGCAAGATAATAGAATGCATCCAAACCATTTCGCGCCGCTCTATCCGTTGCCGGGTCAGAGGTTTGTCTGTGGACAAACCCAGACTCCCGAAGCGTTCCCAGATCAGCTGAGAAATATTGTCCCTCTAGCATTAAACAAAACAATAACATATTATACAAGCTAGAATAAATCTTTTGCACCAGATTTCTGTAAAGAAGCTCTTTGTGTCCACAGTTTGGTCTGTACTCAGCGTTCATGGGGGGCTTCATCTACACATTACTGGGGACTTCTAAAGACGTGACACTGGGTCCGACTGCGATCATGTCCCTCCTGTGTTTCTCTGTGGTGGGAGGAGAGCCCCACAGAGCCGTCCTGCTCAGTTTGCTGTGCGGACTCATCCAGACCACCATGGCCTTGCTCAGATTAGGTGAGGATTAGGTGCCGGTTCAGATGCGTATATGTACAACAGTTTTTCAAAAGACAAATGAAATATCCAAATGATCTGTACACTCTCAAATGTGAGAAATGCTTCACTTTAAAGTTTGCATAGTATATTATTGTAGTTTGTAGCATCGCATTAACTATATTGACATGTAACAATAACAACAACATTATTTGGGAATTGGAGTTGGTTTGTAGTTCAACTAATTAAACAATGACTTGAATGTCCAAGCTGCATTGATTTGGCAAATGACTTGATAATGGGTGTCAAAATCTTCTTGTCCTTTAACACATTTTTCCTTCATGCTTACATATTGTTTCTTCTGTTTTTCAGGCTTTCTCTTAGATTTTATTTCCTATCCGGTCATAAAAGGATTCACATGTGCAGCAGCCATTACAATTGGCTTTAGCCAGGTCAAGGTGAGGGGCTTGTTAACACGCTGACATATAATCACAGAATAGTATAACAAGAATAACATTAACACTGGGCTGGGGATCATTCCTGTCCTGGCAAAACGTTAAAATAGCTCAAATACCAACTAAAAAGGAAAAATGCCTAAAAAGGGTTTGTCTATAACCAAATTACTTGATTAGTTTACACAGTCACTAGTCGGTATTAATATGATGTGTAATAGTTAAGATGGATGGAGTCTGATCTTCTTCTGCTTGATTGGAATAGAAACATGCAGCCACACAACCCTTTGAAGACGGAGTTGAAAAGCCCTGGTTTAGAATAATGCAGGAAAGGTTGTACTCATTCTAAACTGGATACCAATACAATTAGTACAGAGCATAATTTACGGCCATGCCTTCTACCCCAGATTGACTCATAAATACAAATAAAACTATTCATTACATTTACATTTTACAGAATATTTTGGGACTTCGTGGCGTGCCTTCGCAGTTTGTCCTGGAAGTTTACTACACGTTTGCCAAACTTCCAGAGGCCAGAGTGGGTGACGTGGTCCTGGGTCTGCTGTGCCTCACTGTGCTTCTCACTCTCACGTTTATGAAGAGGACTCTACCAGAGGACGAGGCTCCGGCCATCACCACAGCAGCCAGAAAACTAATCTGGACTGTGTCTACCAGTCAGTATGAAACCTAAGCCTTTAAATGCAAACAATAGTGGTTCTGGATATAAGATAGTATGTAAAGCATAACACGTTCAAATAGCTTTGACGATGCCCTGGTTCAGTTGCTTGTAACAATTTCAAATCAAATTTCAATTTTTTCTTAGATAGTCTTTATAAGTCTTGATGACTAATACCATTCCATGATCTTAAAACTTGTATGTGTATCTCTGCGTTGGTTTGTATCGGGAGATACTGATTCCCTAATGTTCGTAATGAATGTTCCTAAACATCTTTATATCACCCATTGATTAGAATCGTTGATAAAATAAGTAATTTCTGGTAAAAATCAGTGTTAAAACTCTGCTTCTAAATTTGGCACATCTGCCGTCTGTTGGATGGCATACTTTGAATGCACACTTATGCACCCAATCACAAATCTTTCTTTTTCAGTGCGTAATGCGCTGGTGGTTTTAGGTGCCTCATTTGTAGCGTTTTCCTGGGAGGCCTACGGTTACGACGTGTTTACAATCACTGGAAAAACTGCTCAGGGACTGCCCCCCTTCAGACCCCCACCTACATCGGACACCACAGCCAATGGCACCAATGTCACTTTTGGAGAAATAGTAACGGTAGATTTACATTCTTAGAAAATAAATCATGTTATGTGACTTTACCCCAGATGACTTTTTATGGTATGTATTTGTATGTTTTGAACAGGACTTTGGAGGAGGTCTCGCTGTCATTCCGTTCATGGGTTTGCTGGAGAGCATTGCTATTGCAAAAGCATTTGGTGAGTTGTTTTTAGTCAATCTTCTATTTTATTTCAGGGTTTTGCACATATTTAGAACAGTAGGATATAGACCTAGGTAGCCTGGTCTTAGCCATCCGTTTACTCCGGTCAATTATTATTTCCCTACGAAATGTATTTGTACAATGGTGTGGCAAGATCAGGCTTAGACCGAAGTGAATTATGGCCAACTTTAGCTCCTTACATTAAGTGGAGTAGAAGATACTTCACCTCTAAAGCTCAGGTTAAAGTTTTGATAATAACAAATGTTAAATGATCATTAGAATTGTCTTCTTTCAGGCAGTCAAAATAGATACAGAATAGTAGCAAACCAGGAACTTTTGGCCATCGGTCTGACCAACGTTATGGGGTCTTTTGTGTCAGCCTACCCAGTCACCGGGAGCTTTGGCAGGTACATGGTGTGTCCTTGTATATCAACTATATAAGTAAAAACCCAATAGTTTAACTTGTTGTGACTGTTCAGGACAGCAGTGAACTCTCAGACTGGAGTGTGCACACCAGCAGGAGGCCTCATCACCAGTGAGTTTCTACAGCATGTTTTACACACCTCATTCTTGCAGCTCACTTACACCCCCTGGTGGTCTTACAGTGGCAGTGAAGCATCAGTTTTAATTTTACGGTACCAAACTCACAATACAATGTATAGTAAAACCATATAATTTTCTCAGATTATATGGTCTTTAATCAATAATGTAATAAATGATGTACAAAATATGTGGTCAGTTTTGGAGAACAGCAGTTAGAACTCACTGGAGCCCTCTAAATCCCTGCCTAAGACTCACCTTGTCTCTTTCTCTTTTGGCTTTTAATATTTTTGTGTTTTGCTTGTCTGTACAGCACTTTGGTAGCTCTAGGCTGTTTTAAATGTGCTTTACAAATAAACATTGATTGATCAGAATATACTTCTAGAGATATATTCAATAATTATTACACAAGCCGATGAATTCTGGCAGTAACTTTATGGTGAAAGTCATGTTCCTTGTTTCCAGGTGCAATAGTGCTGCTCTCTCTTGCGTTCCTCATGCCTGCTTTCTTCTACATCCCAAAAGCCTGTCTGGCAGCTGTGATCATCTGTGCTGTGGCTCCAATGGCTGACTACAAAATTGTTAAGAAGATGTGGAAAATATACAGTAGGTTTCTCCTATTGTTATGATAAGAAACCTACTAAGCTTGGGATTATATCCACTGCCTATATCCCTGCACATCAAGTAGAAGACATCGTCTGCATCCATCTACATGTGTTTTTAAAATCAGGGTTTTTTTTGTTTGCTTTTAGCAACATAACTTAATGGTTAATGATGGTTAACTTATAGCCCGTTTTTAATTTTTATCAAAGGGTCAGGGCTAGAGTGGGAAAATAAAAAAAAATCTGTTTGTCCGTATTATCAGTAATTAGTCTAAGATCTTTTCTAGTTTTGTTTTTGTTTTATCTGAATTACTTATTCATTAATTGGCTGACAAACCAGCGCTTTAGTATTTTTAAATAAATGACTAAATTGCATATTATGAAGCAAATGAAGCCTATCTTGCGCATCAGAAAGACATTGCTTGATGCATTGCTGTTCTGGTTTGGTGTTTTGTGCAGAGCTGGACCTTCTGCCTTTTGGAGTCACTTTTTTCGTAAGCTTCTGGGAGGTGCAGTATGGGATCATCGCTGGTATTGCTGTGTCTGGAGCCTTATTATTGTACAACACAGCAAGGCCTCAAATCAAGGTGAGTTATATGTACAGTCCAATATGTTAGATTTGCATTACATTTGTCTTTGAATGAACTGAAAAGTTCACTCAAGAACAACAATCTACATGATGGCCACGTTGTTTCTGTTATCAACCCCAGCAGCTGCAGCCCATGATTAAACAGCAAGAGCAGTTGTATGTGTACGCAGCATACAGGAAATACAATTCGATTAACCCTTTACACCAGAAATGGCATTCTGTTTGAAAGGGAAACACACATTAGTTTATTTAGGGTGTGTGTGTTTTTTATTATTTTAATGTACAGAAGTATGGATGTCTTCTCAACACTGATAATAAACAGGAACAAATATGCTTTCTATTTTGCAGATTATCGATTATAACACTTTGGTTTTGGAGCTGAGGAGTGGGCTGAGTTTTCCTGCGTCTGAGTATCTGAGCCACTTTATATACACTAAAGCCCTCCAAGGTAGAATACAACTGAAGATCAAACCTAAAGTCATTATCTTGATTTATAGAGACATATAGATAAATACAAGAAAGCGGCAGCAACAGTATTACGATTATTAGCTCTAATAATCATTATCAACATGAACATAGAGACTTGGACTGCAGGTCAAGAGCTTATCGTGTTGGCCCTAGCCGTCTTATCATCACAGACAAGTCATGTTCATTTTGTAACATAATTATGCCTATTACTTAATAATTAGATTAATGGTAAAAGATTTACTTCACATATGTTGATCTTATACTCCTATGGCTAAAACTGTCAACTGTCAGAAATGGTATAATTACTTTCACATTTGTATGATGGCTCCATGTTCTGAACTTTTTGCCAATTCTTGTTTGATAACTGTTTATCTGCATAGATTTCTTGATTTTTGCTGGGTTATTTCAGTGTCTCCGCTGCGCTCCGTGGTTCTGGACTGTCTTCACATCAGTGCGATCGACTACACGGTGGTGAATGAGCTCCGAGATCTACTCCGACAGTTCGATGTACGGAACGTGCGCCTGGTCTTTGCCAGATTAGAGGTATGAGAGCCGTGTTCAATAGTGATTATTTATGTATTCTTTCATGAAACTATTTATCTGCAGTGTTCTTTATAGGGTTTTTCTATATATGGTATCGGAATTGCCCGCTCGTAATAGCGGAAACTTCTTTTTGTGAAGGGTTTGAAGTAATAGTAATAGTAATAGGTCAAAAACATAACAATTGGTCCATCAGTCTATACCTTTGTTCCAGTTTTGCCTGCTTAAGGACACTACGACAGTTGGGCACTTAACAGCCACAGCCGTCCCACTGTGGCACCTGATTTTTGGAAATAACAGGAAACTATTGAATTTTTCGCCCCCATAATCTCCTCTTTAACAATAAATAACATATTTTTTGACTACATGAAATGTAATTGTTGTTCATTATTTTTCAGCCCTCTGTTCTGAAGGTGTTACTTGCAGCGGATCTGCAAGACCTTCGATGCAGAGACACTGTGGAGGAGGCAATTCTTGAAGCTGAAAACCTGCACTCAAACTGACCACTGGTGAAGGCAACAGGCCCGAGACATTCTAACTGTCATAAACCCATGCTCCAACTTTGCACTGGACTTTTAACTTGTTTTACTTTTTAACTTGTAATTATCTTTTTTTATAAAGACAAGACCAAATATATTCTGTAACATTTTGCAATTTGTTTAAATGGGTACTGTGCTATTTGTATTATGAAAATGTTTTCTTGTAAATTAATGATAAAAAGTATCAGAAAGTCAGCTCTCTGAATAAATGAATTTAAAGTGACAGATTTTGTATCAATTTTTTTTTTTAACAAAACTAATAGATAATAATACTTACAAACATGAAGGGAATATGTATAAAAACCTATGTATACATTTCTTACCAGTGATCACGTTCTCTTCTTAAAGCAGTTTTAAGAATGTATTTATTTGGCGGTATGAGGCGCAGAGGTCTGTGTGTGTGCTTCATTGTTTGTTCATTTCTTTCCATGGCCGGATTTATAAAGTAATCGCTGGTCAGGGGAAGAAAGTAATTTTTTTCTAAAGTTTCTAATATCAAGTAGGTTTACATGTAATTTCTGGAAAAATGTAATATACAGATTCTCTTCACTATATATTACAATATATAGCCACTTCTATAAGTCCATAAGCAGATTATCACTGTGGTCATTTAGAAGTTTCTATAGCAAAAATATTGCAGTAAAGTAACTTAGAAATAATATGGTAGTGTACATATGTAAGCAACACCACCACATCTACACAAATGTAAGCAACACAACCACATCTACACAAATGTAAGCAACACAACCACATCTGCACATATGTGAGCAACACAACCACATCTACACAAATGTAAGCAACACAACTATTTCTGCATATATGTGAGCAACACAACTATTTCTGCACATATGTGAGCAACACAATTCACTATGACGCTTTCAAATATTGCACAAATATTTCCTTATTTTTAAATGGATTATTATATGGGTACATTTTAGTTCAACACTGAAACTATTCCACAATTTAATGCCACAAACTGAAATGCAGAAACTCTGCGACATCTCATTTCAAAATGTTGTTGTCCTCTTAAGTTGTAGATACACATTCCCATCCCTGTAATTGTTGAGGTAATGATTTATTACTAGCTTTACTTTTCAACTGATGTTTTGGTCTACAAATTGTACCTAGAAATGTCTCGAGCATTACTCTATCTGTTTAGGTAATGCTCGAAGATTTTTGTTTCTAGATTTGACAAAAGCTTGTTAGTGTCAAACTACTGCTTAATTTTAGCCAATTAGATTGCATCCGTTGATCTATATTCTCACTTGATAACAGAAGGTTTGTATCGTCCACCACAATACTGCTTTTAAAACTTTAGAAACTTGACCGATGTCATTATTATACAAGTTAAATTAAACAGGTCTCTGTGCTCCTCTGCACTATTTCCAAATATTTTGATTCTCCGTATTCCATCATCACAAATTATTGTGTTCTCCAAATAGTCCAATTCCCAATGTTCCACAATTTGTTGATTAATTTCTCATGGTTTATTGTATCAAAGGATTGTTCCAAAGGTCCAAAATACTGTGGTGGATCAATGTTTTCTAAATCCAGCAAATAAATGCATCTAGTTTACTGTGGAATACTTTGGAATGGTTGTCTCTGAACATTAAGTGTTCAGTTGGATTGACCAAAACTGAACCAAAGGTTAAGAAGGCTTGTAATTGTAGATCAACAGGCCAATGAACATTTTTGAATGTTAGGTTAATTACCCAACAATAAATAAATGTGGTTGTTTTCTTGAAAAAGATAGCTTTAAATTAAGGTAGAACGTGCCCAATTTAACGTAAACGCTGGAAGTGATTCATATATCGAAAATTCTTTAACAAAAATGGTCTCACAGGCCACAATTATGCTATGGGCCGCATTTGGACCAGGGAACTTATCTTTGATCCATGCACTCTAATAAAAAATGTATTTCAAAGATTATTCTATCTCTTCTGCTATCAGCTGGTATTGAGACATTTAACCCAAGTTTATTGTTGCAAAATAATAAACTAGGGGAACGTCAGCCTGTACAATTACAAAACTGTACATTCTGTCTGTGTCAACAATTAACCTGGTTGAACTTGTCATATGTCACAGTGATAGATTGCAGTCCAATTAATCATAATCAGATAGAATATTTAAACATAGTGCAAAAGATCTGAAATTGGTAAGAAGTGCCAGGGGTGTTCTATTGAAGCATACTACACTGATAGATTAATGAATAGGCAAAAGCTCTGTAAGAATGGACATAGACTCTGCTTTTGTTTGGTCCACTTGTTATGTAACATTAACCTCAGCTTGTCAAAATTAACCTTTGAATGATCATGTTTTCTTACTGATAACGCCCCATAGCCGTATAAATACCCAGGTCTTTCAGTGCAACAACACAGATCTGTAAGTAACATCCACAGTTGTGCTAGATTGGATTGGTGATCTGTGTAATTGACTCTATTCTTTCTTGAAGTGTCATCCCAGATCCACTCCAGAAGAAATGGAGACATTTGGAGTGTTGTTTCTGTCTTTAATTTTGCAGATTGGAACAGGCTTTGCTTCAGGTAAAAATTTCTGAGCATGCAGGTGACATAATATGTTAATTTCTTGAAAAAAAGGTTATTAGATTAAAAGTTACAAAGGTCATGTCAGAAAGACTTTTGTGTAAATGTTAATTTTTGTTAACAAATCAGACTTCATCTTACTTGAAAAAAGATATACATGTTAATTGCACACTTTAAAGAAAAAGCCTTGTAATCAAAGAGTGGTCCTGTAGATTTCACTTTTTTGCCTGAAAAAAACTGACTTCAAAGCTGTTTTGGCCATAGGTCATCTGCAGCTTATGGACCAATACCAATGTGTTTTCTATCATTGTATTTCTTGTGTTTAAACTGTTGGATTCTCTGATCTGTGTTGGCAAATTCAGCGGTTGTGTAAAGTTCTCCAAGATCACTACTTGAATTTAATTATTGTTCCAATAGGGAAATATGTCAGAAGAGGTGGTACTCAATGTTAAATCATCTAATTCATTTAATTTTGCATTCTATAAAATTAATAGATCTTGTGACCAGCTGTGACTCGTGCCATGCCCAAGCCACCTGCCTGAAGCTGGAAGAAAGGGGAGAGACCTTCACCACGACCAAAACATTCTCTTGTCTGTGCAAAAATGGGTTTGTTGGTGACGGCATCAGCTGTTATGAAGTGAAAGCCTGTGCAAGTAATTCTTGCTGTGGCATTGGCTACAAGTGGTCACCAAAACAGGGCTGCGTGGATGTAGATGAGTGTTCTATCACGCCCTCTCCTTGTGGTCCTTCTCAGCACTGCCAAAACACTCCTGGATCGTTTGAATGTGTTGAAAGTCCATCTCCAAACACAAGAAAAAGTAATTTTTGGTGCAACCACGGATACTGTCCAGATGGCATGGACTGCATAAAGCATGGTGGGGTGTCCCGTTGTTCCGATCCGTGTGAGCACTACACAGTTCGAGACGACCTTTGGCGTGCCACCGATTACCCCGTAACAGGAAAACCCAAATGTGATCGTTATGAAAAATGGGAGGGCTGGTATCGCTTATATTTGAACGGCTCCAATGCTCAATTACCAGAGAGATGTGTAGAGCAATATATGTGTGGTACTAAAGGGCCAATGTATCTTCGTGATCCTCATCCACCTGCTGGGTTTAATCACATTGAAAGACGCGACGTATGTATCCATTATTACTCAAACTGCTGCCGCTACAGTACCCAGATCCATGTCAAGCAGTGCTATGGACAATTCTACATCTACAGACTCGTGAGACCCAGAGGCTGTGATCAGGCCTACTGCGCAGGTAATGATAAACTATAGTGTTTTATAACCATATATAACATTTATAACAATATATAACATTTATGACCATATATAACATTTATAACAATATATAACATTTATAACCATATATAACATTTATGTCCATATGGAAAGAGTGCCTGAGTTTCTCTTGTTTCTCATTTTCCCTAGAACTTAGGATTGATCAAACTACTACAACCATTGCCCCAACCACAACCACAACTGCCCCCACCACAACAACAGAAGCCCCAACCACAACCACAGCTGCCCCCACAACAACCACAGCTGCCCCCACAACAACCACAGCTGCCCCAACTACAACTACTGCTGCCCCAACCACAACAACAGAACCCCCCACAACAACCGCAGCTGCCCCAACTACAACCACAGAAGCCCCAACTACAACCACAGCTGCCCCCACCACAACCACAGAAGCCCCAACTACAACCACAACCACAGAAGTCCCAACTACAACCACAGCTGCCCCAACCACAACCACAGAAGCCCCAACTACAACCACAACCACAGAAGTCCCAACTACAACCACAGCTGCCCCAACCACAACCACAGAAGCCCCAACTACAACCACAACCACAGAAGCCCCAACTACAACAACAGAAGCCCCAACTACAACCACAGCTGCCCCCACCACAACCACAGAAGCTCCAACTACAACCACAGCTGCTCCAACTACAACCACAGAAGCTCCAACTACAACCACAGCTGCTCCAACTACAACCGCAGAGGCTCCAACTACAACCACAGATGCCTCAACCACAACCACAGATGCCCCAACCACAACCACAGCTGCCCAAACCACAACCACAGATGCCCCAACCACAACCACAGCTGCCCAAACCACAACCACAGAAGCCCCAACCACCACACCAGGGTATGACGGAAGTGGGATGAAGGGGGAGGTCCGCCTGGTTAATGGAGGGAATGGCTCCTGCTCTGGACGAGTGGAGATCTTTGAGCAGGGGCATTGGGGCACCGTGTGTGATGACGACTGGGATTTTCTGGATGCTCAGGTGGTGTGCAGGCAGCTGGGCTGTGGCCGGGTACTTTCTGCTCCCTCTTCGGCTCATTTTGGAGAGGGCTCCGGTCCCATTTGGATGGGTGATGTGGCTTGTACAGGAGGAGAGACTGAGCTTTCCCAGTGTCCTCACAGGGGATTCGTGAGCAACAAGTGCAGCCATAATGATGATGCTGGAGTGGTCTGTGAAGGTGACAGCAAATAACAGATACAGCAGCAGCAGTTTGAATCTCTCTGATTCTAACAATTTGTTTTTCTCCACAGCCCTTTCCCCGGTGCGGCTTGTAAACTCTGCTGACCGCTGCTCTGGCAGAGTGGAGCTGTTCCATAACGGCGAATGGGGAACTGTATGTGATGATGAATGGGACATGGATAATGCCGACGTGCTGTGCAGGCAGCTGGGCTGTGGAAGGGCAAGAGCTACACCTCACAATGCAGCTTTTGGAGAAGGCACAGGACCCATCTGGCTGGACGATGTAAACTGTTTTGGATCTGAGCCGTCAATAACAGACTGTCGCCACAATGGATTTGGAAATCATAACTGTGGTCACCATGAAGACGCAAGTGTTGTCTGTGAACGTAAGCCTTCAATTTTAAAACCTACTTTGGGAAAACCAATATTCTGAAAATCTATTGTATTTTACTCATTGTTTTTTTTAATGCTACTTGTCTTGTAGTGCGTGACCAAGAAGTTGAAGTCAATCAGTTTATCTGTGGACAAGATAAAATCCAAGTTGGTCTGAATATGCTGACAGTGTCCTTCTCCGGTCTGGACCCACTGTCGGGTCACCTTGTGGACCGCGACTGCATCAAATCCAGAGTTGAGGATAACATTGTATGGTACGAGGTCGAGCCGAGGGAAGGAATCTGTGGAAACAGCATGAGGGTATAGGCTCTTAGCTCTACCGTTTCTAACACTTCCATCAGTGCTGTGAGTGATTTCATGTATTGCTATGTTTTTTTCAGACCAACAGCACACACTTCACCTACACAAACAGCTTATTCCTTTATGCTCACAACACTAACTCCTTCAGTGTCCCTGCAAGTCTTCCCTTCTCCTGTGTGTATTCCCTGGACTTAGACACCGGACTAAATGCTGATATCAGACCCCTGGTGTAAGACTGCCAAAGCTCACAATCAAATAGGACATATTTGAAAACAAAATGTATCTAATTGTACGATTTTTTTTACTTCATAGGCCTACCGGGGGCATCATTTCATCAGGTGGACCTCCCAGAGGAGTAATGTCCCTGTACCGGGACCAAAGCTACACTAGCACCTATCCGTCTGGCAGTGTGAGTCTGCCGGTGGGCCAGCCACTGTACGTCGGAGTCACTGTAGAAGAGAAGGATGTCACTTTCGCAGCTGTTCTGGATCACTGCTATGCAACTTACAGCTCCGACCCAAACGACCAAAAAAGACAATATCTCATCCAAAACAAGTATGTATATTCGTAAAAACACAAGAAAAAAAAACTTTATCCATTGCGAATTAGTCCTGCAACTAAGGATGTCAGTTTATTTAGTTATTTGCAGTTAGCACCACATGGGAATTTTTCCTCTACATTTCACCCTTTCTACAATGCCACTGAGCTATGTCAGCACGAGTGTTTAATCTATGTTGCATGCTTTGGGTAGTGGGGAAAACCGGAGCACCCAGAGGAAACCCACCTAGACAACCTTCTTGCTGTGAATCATGAGTGCTACCCACTCAGCCACCTTGTCGGATTGGTAGCATATTGTTTCTTATTGTAAATGTTAAGCATTAGCACCGAGCAAGTGTGTAAAGAAAGTAGCCTATCCTAAAATGTATATATTATGGGATAACTCGGCAAAGTAAGATAAACTTTTTCACAGTGAGATAAACAATTTACAGAAGCAACATGTACTCAGAGTTTGTTTTGATGTATTGCTACATCAAAAATAATTAAAACAAATCTAAATGTATTGTGATGGCTGCTCCCTAGGTGTTCCACTGACTTACAGCAAGTGTCAGTGGTTGAGAGTGGGACGTCTCTTCGGGCTCGTTTTACTGCCCTCCTCTTTGTCCCCCACGGTGAATACAGGACGTTTTACCTCCACTGCCACCTGCACCTGTGCAGCCCAGGCCCCTGTGTTCCAGTAAGACTCTACTGCCACATACTTACACTGTCACAGTCTGTGAGGTCATATTTTGGTCATATTTAGCATAATAAAGTTAATTTCATGTAGGTATTTTTCAGTAAGTAAGTGAGATAAGATAAAACAAACTTTGATCTCACAATGGAGAAATGTACATGGCATAAATAGTCTCACTTAGGTTGTGCAAAAAGACAGAAAATGTGCAAACATGTTAAAGGTTAAAAATAGTCTCTTTTGTGCAAGATGTGTTATGTAAAATAACAATGAAAAGGGACTATAGCAGTGGAGGTCATTAAAGTGAAATACATTGTTTGCTCAATGTTAAAACAGTCTCTCACGGTCTTATATTATTTCTATAAATTTCTTGCAACAGGTTTGCTCAAGACGGGCTCCTCGTTCAGTTTCTGAAGATGTAAGAATACAGCCACTCACCATTGGACCCATCACATGTGAGTAATTTATCAGCAATACGTTTTCTCAAAATATTCTTCACAAAACAATAACATTAGAGACCCCCGCGAGAAGTGGGACTACCAACCCGGGATCAAAGAAGAATTGGCGGAAGCATAAACATGCTCAGGAAACCGCTGAAGAAAAAGCGGGAATCTAATATGTGATACACCGACCATGCTTTGGAGCCAGAGACAAACTGCTTAAATCCCTGACTGCTCTCCACGGAGGAGGCAGCGTGATTAATAACAAATGCCCGAGGGAAAGTTGTCCCCCACCGCAAACAGAAGAAGCCATTGAGCACAGGCATGCCCCCTTTCCTCCAAGATGTACAGGATGGACTCAAAAGTTGTCTCTTGGATTTTTAATCAGCTAGATGCTGTCTAGGCCTGCTGCGGACATTTTGAAAGACATCTACAGCCCGGCTTGAAAGACTGTGTGTCGCGATAAGCGTCGATAGGTCTGTACCGAGGAGGCGTATAAAGGCAGACACCAAAAAAAAAACGGAGGACAGAGGACGGCAGGCAGGCACGAGGAAACACAAGCCACGGCACCAAACCAACACATTTACAAAACACAGGGCTTCAGATAATTCAGGGATGGGGAAAAATTAATCGATTTTGATCATCGGCTTTCGAGGTTTACATTTTGGGGTGATTTATTTTTTCTTTTAAAAATCCGATTTAACTACGTGCTAACCGCGGGTCTGTGGTGTTGAGCATGAAAACCATTTTCGAAGCTAACCTAGTGCTAACAGTCACCCCTCTGGCCCCTGATGCTGATTGCTCACAGTTGGTGCTGTTGCTATAACACTTTCAAACGTTTTGTCCCACTGAGCTTTTTTGAACAGAGTGTCCTTTAGACATTTCTATTTCGAGTCATCAGTTTTTGAAAAATTGTGATATTTCATGTACATAATGCTATTTGAGCTTAATAGGATTGATAGATTTGCGAAGCACCTCCTTGTGTGATTTAAGTTATTTGAAAGGTGCATAGGGTCATTGTAAGTGAAGTTATTATATACCTTTAAGCTACATTTTCGTAACAAGAGCTCATTCGAGATATAGGGGACACAACCATTTGTGATAAGCCCAAGTACCACGTGGTAAACACACTAAAAGTTGGAAATGGATTTCTTTTTTTTAGGAACTCTGAAAGTTGCAACAATAGAATTAGCTCATGAGAGAATTGTAATTGGACATGGAAAATATAACAAAGTTAAAATCACAGGCCTTTTGTGTGTTACATGTTTGTGTTACATGTTTTGTGTGTTATATGTTTTGTGTATGTTATGATGTTTGTGTGTCATGTCAAAGTACACTACGCTGACCTTAACAAACTGGACCAAAATACTAACGTGGGAAATCGGCCTGTGATGTGACTGGGATGGGAGTGTGATGTGAAATGAGGAATGCTGAACGGAGAATGGAATTACAAATGTGTCTGTAATGCGTTACTGTGATCATGGAATAATTATTTTTGTCAACAGCATACGGTGTAAGTCAAAGATAATAAGCTTTATTGAACAGGTGTACAAGTGAGAGTACTCTGGGATGAGTACTCTGAGGAAAGTACTCTGCGGAAAGTACTCGGAGATGAAATATGAAGATATTGGAAGTTCCTCCCTGTGCTGTTTGTCCTGACAGCGACACAGTCCAACCGCAGTGAGCTGTCGTTGGCTGAAGGACAACTTGGTTTGTAAACTCACATTTAGGGAAGTATAAATTAGAAATATACATTTTGTTGTTCTGTATTTGGCTACAGCCTCTGCCCTGATGTCAAACACCGTCTGTCAATGCAGTTATGTTTTGCCCAATTGGAAAAAAGATTGACAAGCGAAAGTGGGCATTTTTTGTGTTTTTTGTGTTCTAATATTTCTTTTCAGATGAGAGATAAACTACCCCTGCTTTAGGGATGAAAGTAGTATGGACCATGAGGAAATGAGCATCTACCTGGGCACCAAAGCCCACAATATGAATTGAGGACGATCCGGGACAAAGCAACTGGAGATGAACGGAACAGTTGGTACTTTTGCAGTCTCACGGAGGGCCACAGACCCACTGCTTACTTCGATGCCGTGGCAGCAGGATTGCCTCGCTGCCTGCAGCCTGTGGCTGCCGCTGAGAAAGCGGCCCTAGCATCACGTGACCTTGTGGGATACACTGAAATAACTTTGCTTGTGCCCCATGCTGTGTCCCTGATCCTGCTAGAGCAGAGGGCCTCTCGCCTTTCTGCGGCTCGTTGGCTGGGGTACAAAGGGGAGACGCTGCTGTATCGCCACAAGAGAACAGAGATGCACTCCCAGGCCAGACCTGAAAGAGGCGCCTCTGACTAATCCTGACTTGATTGTTGTTTATACAGACGGAGCCGCGTAACGTGACAACACTGGGAAGAACCGAGTCGGCTATGCTGTGTGTTCTGATTTTGATACTATAGACTCTGGTTGAACGGCTGCTGACAGCTGTAATGTTGCCCTTAGAGATCGCTGTATGCAAATGCCACTGAGGGCCACAATAATGCCACTGATCCCATCTCTGCAGGGAATCGGCGCGCGGACAAGGGAGCGGCATACGCACCTCTACACACACACACACACTACCTCACTCAAGACGTTGATATTTTCTCCTCTGTCAGCGATGCAGGCACTGGCTACTTCAGCAGAGACGCTGCTGTGAGAGGGGAATGGGGCTCGACGACGGCATGGTGTGTGTGGCTGGGACCAGGCAGCAAACCGTGCCTACCACGGCATTTCTTCAGACAGTTTGCAATTTTAGCACATGGTCGAGACCAGGCCTCGAAAGGAGGGATGATGTGTGAATTAATCACACAAAATTGGTATACAAAGGGGTTTACGGCATTTGCACAGAGATTCTGCCAAACATGCGCTATATGCCTCGCGCATAACCCAGGTAAGTCCCAAAAGTATCCAACAGGCTGCTCATCCTCCGCCCCTGCGCCCATTTCAACATGTCCAAAGGGACTTTTGTTGAACTCACATCATGCCAAGGTAAGTAATACTGTCTGGGTCTGGCGGATCTCTGGTCCAAATGGACTGAAGTATTTGCAGGCATACACGCCACAAGCAACGCGGTGGGGAAAGCTCTGCCCACAAAAAAATTATGCATTGGGGTGTCCCGAGGGAAAATCTCTAGTGACAAAGGCAGCCACTTTGTAGCAAAAGTCATGAGGAAGTGGGTGAATTTCTGGGCATCGATCCCATTCGAAACCCTCTGGGCCAGATCCACCCAACTTGGGCGCGGGACCCCTGAACAGAGATCTGCCAAGCACCTCTTTGTGTGATGACATGCTGTCCTATTGTAAGGAAATTAATGCACTTTTGTCCTCTATTTATGCCAAGGTCCGGAGCGCGCTGCCACAGGCTGCGCAGGCGGCTCCACACAGGATCAAGCCAGGCGACTGGGTCCTGGTGAAGGAAACGAGACGAAAGCATTGGCGGTCCAAGCGCTGGCTCGGCCCATTCCTCGTCCTCCTGGTGACGGACACTGCCGTTAAGGTCGCGGAGAGGACAACTTGGATCCACGCCAACCACTGTCGTGCGGCGCTGCCACTGAGGGCCATAGACGAGGACACCGAGGGCGCGGACGGACCAGGCCCATCCGCGGCTCCCTACGCTGCAGAGGTCGGCAGGCGTGCGACCCCCGTCGGTGAAGCAGGCCAACAACAACACCCAGAGAATCCCAGCGTTGCCGAGGCAACCCCCCTTTGCCCAACTCCCCAGCCCCCGGACCCCAAAACCTGGGAACCATGAAGGCCCTGAGCGCTCTGCTCAGCTGCAGCAAGTATGCAGAGCTGCTGCTCATTCCAAAGATTTCTCCAGAGCCTGCTCCCTCTGGCCGATCTGGAGCGTGCTCAAGCTTGCCGCTCCAAGACCAAACATCGCAATGACCACTAACGCTACACACACGCTGATAGGGAGCGGTGCCAATGACTGTGTTCATTATGTTAATATTGTCTTCTCTTACCGCTGTCCGGATCCATTGTGTTATTATAACGTGCTCTTTCTTCTTTTGACAAGCATGTTTCTTTTCTTGTCCACTTTGGACAGCAATAAGTTAAGTGTTTCAAGCTTGAAGGTGATGTGATTATGATGTCTCTGTTATTTAACTGATTAATGCAAAAATGGTTTTGAATTATCAAAAGAGGGGATTGTGATGACAGTTTTCAGAGTAGTCACACATCATAACCAGCCACAGCCAATACGCGGACGTGGAGGGCCTTTCAGATGCAGAGACGCCCTTCTGACGCCATGCTGTGCTTCCTGAGGGTCCCTGCTGCCCTGTCACACCCTTTTGCCTCCTCCATATTATGGCCATTGTCTTGTCTGCTCACACCCCATGCAGGACACACCATAGGGGGTGGTGCCGGCGCTTCCTGTGTGGAGCAGGCTGTGGCCCCCTCCAATCTGTTGTGGGCGGGACTGACTTTCTTGTTGCTCTGTATACACGAGACTGGGGGCTCGGCCCCCAGAGCTAGGAGATACGACCTGTTGGTATGTGTCTGCTTCTCTCCTCACGCGCGTGTGATTCCATTAAACTTACGCTTTTGACTATGACAAACATCTTTGAGTTTTTGTACTGCATTGGGGTGTTTTATTCCTCCACACCAGTCACTGTGGAGAGATAATTAAGGTGAAGGTTACAAATCCACTCCCACACAAACGAAGCACGTGTGTAATGAGCCCGCAGCAGCAAAAACACGTCACCGCGGCTTCATCTGAATAACGTCCTTTGCTAAATATTCAGTAGGACATATGTCGGTTTTTATTTCAGGTCATTCAGTGTGCCTACTTATAAATCTGTGATAAAAATGTGTTTGTTGGAAACTTTAGGATTAGGTCTGTTTATCCCGAGAGTAAGTACTTTAATTATATAGCGCATTTTTACTCCACTCACTCATTACATTCAGACCTATTAGTGACGTCATAATTTCTAGAACTCTCTGTACATTAAAAATCATAACAATATAATTCTGACGTTAAACCATGAAATTTAACATTGTTTTAAAGATGGTGGATTTTGCAAGGCAAGTTTATTTGAATAGCACAATTCATACACAAGGCAACTCAAACTCAAAGTGCCGCCACAACCACCACAACCACCACAACCACCACCATCACATCCGCCACAACCACCACACCCACCTAGGGCTGGGCGATATGGCAACAAAGTAAAACCTCGATTTTGTTTCCTGCTTTGGACGATTTCAATTTTAAATCGATTTTCATTAAACTCACCAAAGAAAGACTTTGCACTTAAAAATATGTTTTGCTCTTTCCGCTCAATATTCAAGTTTCAAAACTATTTTCAGTTTGTTTCCACCAATATGTATTATAAAAGTCTTGTACAGACTGCTGATATTGAAAGTATAATGTGCTGCTGGAACTCTCACAATATCCTTCAATCGATTTCACGATTTTAACATTTTTCACAAATTTGATTTTTTCATAATCCGATTAATTGCCTAAATTCGATTTATTGCCCAGCCCTACACCCACCACAACACCCACCACAACAACCATCACAACAACCATTACAACCACCACCACATCCACCACAATCACCACATCCGCTATTATTTAATTTGATGCAGAATTGGACCAAACAGAAACTTCAAAGCACTACTTCACGTCTGTCCATGTTTTTTTCTTGTAATATTCATGTAATATTATTTTTTTCATTCATTCATGCAGATCTGTGTAGCACTGTATCCCACCACAAATTTTCCTTGGGTCAATAAAGTTTATCTTATCTTATCTTAACCACCACTTCCCCATGCTTCCATGGTTGCCCCTGTAGGGCCTTGTAGCTCTGATTGTACACAGAAAAATGTTTGACAATCAAAATGACACACTGAAATTCAACCAGGTAATTTCCAAAAGCAGCTCAATAAACATTACGCAAGAAAGTCTAAAAATGGGCCGTATAAATTTGTTGCATGTTTTATGAATCTGAGATCTGCCACTCTGGCTCTTGACTCACTGCTGTAATGTTTTCAAAGCCTCTGTGCTATAGGCGAATGATTTTAAACGCTGGAATCATCAAGTGAAAAGCCATGTCGCCCTAACACACTCTGACATCTGCTCTATTACACACTGAGACTCACAGTTAAGTGCAGGAGACGAAACAACCACTTTTTCAATGCTTTTACTAAGTTATTAAACTGGCATCGGAAAACACCACCTTTCCAAAGGACAAATGAATTGCAATTACTCTGCAAGTACTCAATTAGTCCATTCAAGACAAAGGGGAACGGCCTGAGTGAGTGGAAACAGCATTCATCAGGCACATCAGCGTGAACAATGAAGAACAAAGTACATTTCAAAGTGTTAAGTGAATTTCTTTGCCTATCTGTTGATTATTGCTTTATTACAGTTGAACAGTAATTAGTTGAGCCAATACAGACTAAAACAATTTCAAGCATTTCTTTCTCATTGACATTCTTAGAGGACTGATGCTTTGAAAGTAGAACAAGATCACTCAAACTTGCAAGATTCCACGAAAACTACACTTTGGGATAAGGAAAAAAGGAACAAACAACATTAAATGTTGATTAAAAATCATATGTCTCCTGTAATGGATAAGAGTGAAAATATGTCAAAGGGTCAAAGTACAAACTCGTTTTGATTTGTGTTTCATGTACACTTTTGTCCCAGAATGATCCACGTGTCGCCCGCTTTGTTTACTGATTGACAGCTCGCTTGTCGATCACAGCCCACACAAAAAAAACAGATAGTTGTCATTTACACACCAGAAAGTCTCATTCCAATTGTAGAGCTACACACCTGAACCTAAACCACAGAATTATCCCGGCAGTAGTGGTGGTCAACTGATGTAATTTAATTTTATACCACTAGTCGCCATAATTCTCCAACCTGCTACTGGGGCGTGTGTGAGACTTGGATGGTTTTATATCACTGCCGCAGAGAGACGCACATCAACGCCAACTGACGTCACACAGTACTCCAGAGCCAATATGAGAGGCCAGGCACAACATTAGAATGTAGTGCCACCAAAAAGGTAGAGAGGGCGCCACACACTCTAATTTGCAAAAAAAAAATCTGAAAAATGTTCAGGACATGTAGAAAACACTATAAGAAATATATTTATGCAGTTCATGAGTTAAAGGCGCTATACCCGTTTCTGCAATGTTTGAATGTTTAGCACCGCCCCCCAACTCGCTCACAGGCTTCTCGTTTCCCCTACGCTCTCATAACACGGAGCCACCTAGTTTTATTTGCGATCTGATACGTATGCTAACATTAGCATTAGCGCAACTTGTAAGCTGTGCAACAATCACTGATGAAATGGTACTAAAGCAATGCACTGCTAACACAATATATAAGTAAAAGAATACCATTAGTTTCGCGTCCGAATGTATTTCATTTCATTTCATTTCATTTTATTGAGAGCCCCATTAGCTCCTGACTTATTGCCGGGGCTATTCTACCTGGGGTCTCCTTCATTTTCATTACAAATGTTTACAACATAACAAAACAAACAAAACCACAACACACACACATACACACAAACCAACCGTGGGAGCTCAATGTGAAACCGAACAAAACATGTCGCTAGCCACACAGCACAACCGCCCGACTCATCTTTGCCCGTAAAACATGTAAAAGACATTTTATAGGAAACACATTGTTTTTCCTCATTACCATTTCAACAATACAAAATGACCTAAACAATTATGCCATACGGCCAACGATATCACATAAAACCAAAAATAGATAAGTAGAATCGACCTAAAACAGCAATAACAGCATTTTTACCATTTCCATTTAACAAAGTAAAACGAATAATCCATTACCTAAACAAAAGTAAAACATTTACAGTAATCAAAACATTTGAAGTTTTGTATGAAACATAAATCTCAACCTAACAACTCGACTGCCCACGGATCCCATTACAGCACCAGCTTGGAACTTGCCTATCACGTGGTTAGTTACCGTATTAATCCAAAATCATTCTTGTGTAAACAAAAACACCTTTAGTTTATTTTTAAAACATATTTTGCTGTTTTCTAACAACAAAAATCCTGGTAAAGAATTCCAGGCAACCACGGCTCTGTAACAAACAGTTCGCTGCATCTGATTAGTTTTACAACAGGGTAGAGCACACCTTGTTGCACTGGTCTGACGTGTTCCATAACTATGATTATCTGAGAAAAATGACAATTTATTATGTATAACTTTAGGTATTTTTGTCATAATAATGTTCCTAATAAATGTTATTAGGAAATACTTTAATCTACATTTGACTGTTAACCACGCCAAACTATCATGCATTGTCCTCACATTGGTTCTGTATGGGCAACCTAAAACAATCCGTGCTGCTTTATTTTGAGCTACTTGTAACTTATGTAAATTATTTTCACTTGTGTTTGACCAAACAACTGATGCATAATCTAAGTATGAAAGTACAAGTGATTGAACTAGTTGTTTGGTCAACCACCGAGGAATACACTTTCTACAATATTTAATTATGCCCATACTCCTCCCCATTTTCTGTAATAGACAATTAATTTGACTGGTCCACGACAGTCTAGAATCTACAATCACTCCCAACAATTTTACTTGATCTACTTGTTCAATTCTCGTATTTCCTGAAGTCAAATGTAACATCGGTGTTGTTTTCAATAGGTGTTTTGAACCAACTACCATGCATTTAGTTTTTTCGACATTAACCACTAATTTGTTAGTTCTAATCCATTGAGTTACTAAAGTCAGTTCCTCCTGTAGAATGTTATTAAGTTGGCAGTCTGTTTGTGCAGACGCAGACAATGTTGTGTCATCTGCATATATAGCCATGGTTGCCTGTTTTAACACCAGGGGAAGATCATTTGTAAAAATCGAAAATAAAAGGGGTCCCAAACAACTTCCCTGGGGCACTCCACAATCCATATGTCCAATCTCAGAATAATGTCCATTAAAATAAACTTGATACTCCCGATTACTTAGATAACTTTCTAACCACTTTAAGGCAGGCAACTGAAATCCATAACATTTCAACTTATTTAGTAAAATTGTATGATCTAAAAGATCAAAAGCCGCACTTAAATCTAAAAATATTGTGCCAACCATCTTTTTATTATCAATTTCCTGTAACCAATGATCGGTAATCTGAGTAAGTGCAGTAGTTGTGGAGTGATCCATTTTATATGCATGCTGATAAATTGTATTTAATCCCTGAGCTGTAAAATATTCCTGCATTTGGTCATATGCTACTTTTTCCATAATTTTGCTTAATGCAGGTAACAAGCTTATTGGTCTGCTATTTTGACTTGACAATGGTTCTTTATTATTCTTAATTAAAGGGATCAATTTTGCCATCTTCCAATGTGATGGAAATATGTTTTTCCTTAAACTTAAATTGATTATATGAGAAACAGGCAACAGAACAAAATCTACTACCATCTTTAATAGTCTGACCTCAATATTGTCAGCACCAGAGGGTTTTTCTTTACTTTCTTTCAACAATTTTTTTACATCATCCTCTGTTACCTCAGCAAATTTGAATGTAATATTTTTGGTTTGCATTATATATTTCCTTATTAATTGGTAAGTAATATTTTCTTCCTGTCTCACTGCCATGTCATTTCTAATTGTTTTTATTTTGTTAGTGAAAGACTGGCTCAGGTAATTAGCAATTTCCCTTGGTTTAGTAAGATATATTCCGTCTCCCTCCAAAAAAGTAGGAGTAGATCTTGTTTTCTTGCCCATAAGTTCATTTAATGTATTCCATAATTTCGTACTATCCGATTTAACCTCATTAATCTTTTTATGATAATATAGGCGTTTCTTATTTTTATTTAATTTGGTGACAAAATTTCGTAATTTTCGATATTCATTCCATTTTGCCAATTGATTTGTTTTTATGGCCTCTGTTCTGACTTTATCCCTGAGCTTCATGTATTGCTTCAGGTCTTTGTCCAGCCATGGAGCAGAGACATTTCTCACTGCTTGTTTCCTCATTGGAGCATGTTTATCAATCACCTTTGTTATCAGATTGTTAAAGACCACCACTGCCTTATCTGGATCTTGTTCTTGTAGTACCTCTGACCAATCTATGTTGCTTACTTCTGCTATAAAAATCATTTTCTTTGAAATGTTTAAAAGTCCTTTTACAAATAAATTGTTGTCCCTGTGTAGGTACCTTTGTCTTCCTCATAACTGCAATTAAATTGTGGTCACTGTAGCCAACTGGAATAGATACTGCCTCAGAGCATAACTCTGCCACATTAGTAAAAATTAAATCGATAATAGTTGCTGAACATGTACCATCGGTCTTTAAATGTATTCTCGTGAATTCACTGACAAGTTGTGACAAATTACAAGTATTAGCAAATGAAATTAATTTGCTTCTTAATGCACAACTTTCCAATTTCCAATCAATATTTAAATCTCCTAAAAAATAAATTTCGCCTCCTGTATCACATACAATGTCCAGCATTTCACATATTTGATCAAGGTACATTATAGCGGCATTCGGTGGTCTGTAACAACATCCAATGACAACAGGCCTCAAATGAGGTAACTGTAACTGTAACCAGAGTACTTCGACTCCTGCGATGTTAAGATCTGATCTTACTGTGACTGGGATGTGATTTTGGACATAACAAGCTACACCTCCACCATGTAAATTTCTGTCCAGCCTAAAAATATTATAGCCATCTATATGTAATAAAGGGCTATTTATTGTTGCATCCAGATGCGTTTCTGATATTGCTAATACCTGAAAATTATATTTTTGTAAAGTATTCTGAATATCACATATTTTATTTCTTAAGCTGCACACGTTCAAATGAGCTATTTTAAAAAAACCTTTTTGCAACAGAATATGGTCTTTAATCATCTGATATTTGTTCTGAATTTATTCTTTTAGTTTCCCATTGAGCCTCCACCAAAACCCTCACATTACTTAACACATTCATACACACATCCACACACACAAAAATCTTTAACATTGTAATAAAATAAGAAATGAGAGATCAGCTGAGCTGCGCCTGCGCATGACATTATCCTTTTCAACATAATATTCATTTAAACATTAGAATATATTCTAATATTTAATTATAATTTATTATACAGCTCCTCACAGCAGCAGCACTCCATTGACTTGAATGCAATTCTTCCGATCATTTTTTCTTGATAACAGAACTCTCAAACCAATAATGACCGCAGCTCCAATGCAATCTGTTTGTAATTCAGGTGTGTAAAATACTGCCATTACTTTGCAAGTACAACAAGCTATCAGCGCCTGTCACTACACTGTGCAGTTTCTCTGCACACTTGTCTGTGTAGAGAAGCTAGCGGAGCTAGCCACGCTCAATAAACAAATACATATCAATCAATCAACACCATTGAACGTCAATCGGACAATACAGTATACATATACATCCTTAACACACATGCACGGACGATTTCAGAATTTGCTGTCAACGTTTTCATGACAAAAATACTGTTTTAAAGTGACAAAAAGCGATCGCGAAAAACCCGGAAGTTACCATGAAACAGCTAGCTAGCTTAGCTGTTACCTGCCTAGCACGTCCTGGTGAAACCTTTGGGAGCTAACTATTTTATTTGCAGTCATTAAATACATTTCTAATTATAAGGGTTGTCTAATATTTGTTCAAATATGTATATATTTTTTATTTTAGAATTATATTCGAATTTTGAAGTCGAAGCCCTGAAGCAGCGCTGTAGAGGCTAGAGGACACAGGCTGTAGAGGCTAGAGGACGCAGGCTGTAGAGACTAGAGGACGCAGGCTGTAGAGACTAGAGGACACAGGCTGTAGAGACTAGAGGACGCAGGCTGTAGAGACTAGAGGACACAGGCTGTAGAGACTAGAGGACGCAGGCTGGTCGCTGCTCGTTCTGTGAGTGGAGGAGAACAAACGGCCCGCTCAGACTCTACTCAGCACTTTTCACTGCCTGAATTTCATACACAGTGGAATCAATGACCTCAAGTTTTCAATTAAATTATGTATTATGATACAACTTGTATGTAGTAAAAAGCATTTTTATGAACTACTTAGAAAAAAAATCGGGTATAGTTTCTTTTAAAAAGTTGATTTGGCATATAGTTGTCCTTTACATGGAACTTAAAGTGAACTCTGGCTCACGTGGGAGTATCCTTAGGTTGGGTTCATACAGGTTGGTCAGGTTCACTTTAACTCATTGACTGCCAGCCCATTTCAAAACAGGTACTCCCATATTGCCAGCCGTTTCTGGTGGTTTTTACTGATTTTTCAAGACCCACAGAATATTGTGTACTTTGACTATCTGAAATCTAAAACTAGATTCTGAAAGAATGGGCTGTCTACTCTCACCAGCAAAAAGAATTTTGTTTCTATCTTGTTTAGTTCTTCTGTAATCCCCAGTTGAGTAGAGGGAAGTTTTATTGAAATCACCAGAAAGCTGAGAAAAAAGGGCCACAAACAGTGCATCTAGCTGTGTTCAAACCATTCATAGCGCAATGCTGCCATCTGCTGGCTCCATAAAGTATTGCCTCAAGCCAATCTCCACATATTAGATTCAATGGACAGCTGGGAACGTAAAAATAGCGGGAAACGCAATTGACGTGTTAACACGTCATTGGCAGACAACGTTACTATTTAGTTTGACGTGTTAACACGTCAATGGCAGTCAATTTAACTGGACTAATCTGGGTAAAAAAAATGCGTCAAAGATCTGGTTCAAAGGAGTCAAGAAACTGTCCCAGGAAGTGAAACTCCATTGGTCTAGTTAAAGTGAACCAGTCCAGCAAGTGTGAACGCGCCCTGAGATTATTCAATGTAATAAAAAGGTTGGGAATCGTTTATATTTTACAGCATGTTCCAATAAACGTATGTTTCTATTTGAATGACTGAGCGTTCCATAGATCTTACCATTGATGTGCAGCGGAAGAAAACATTGTTGCAGATGGATGAGAACAGCTTCATGCTTTCCTGCAGCCGGTTCTGCAAAGACACAATCTCTGTCACGTTAAATCTGTGTGATGTTCATATCTACATCTACAGCTACAGGCACAGCTACAGCTACAGCTGTATTAAAAATATATATATATATATATCCATCCATCCATCCATTTTCTACCCTTTAATCCATTTCTGGGTCAGGGGGGTGGCAATCAGAGATGCCACCCAAGTCTCATAGCACCTGCCCTATATATATAAATATATATTTATCTCTAAATCTTTTACGTACTAGTGATGTACACGGGAAAAGCACAATGCTGATCATAAGGTGTGATAGACACCAAAATACTAGCAATACACTGTAAAACTAGTGATAGAACCAAACCCAATTTAAAGAGTGAGGAACTATAGTTCATGGATTTTATGATGCACTTAATTATTTGTGGTTTAAAAGTAAGTTATATTAGTCAGTTTATATATTTTGTAGCAGATCTGTGAAGCATTCTTTTTGTAGCCAGACTAACCTTTTTGCAAAGAGTTATTGAAAAAGTGAGTGATTTTGCACAGACTGCATGATACAATTTCTCCCTGCTAGATCTCGCTTTGTCTGATGGGACCAGTGTTATCCAATATTGGGTCTCATCCTGCATACGCACCACAGAGGGCTCCTCCACCAGACTCATGTCGTACCCGCTGAGCGACACCACGAAGAGCACGGCCCGAACCTCCTCGAAACAACTGATCCACTTCCTCCTCTCGTTCCGCTGACCCCCCACGTCATACAACCTGCAGACACACACACACACACAAACACACACTCTGTAAGCAACACATAACAGCCATGTTTGTATTCGGCTCGAGCATGAGGCATAAACAGAGTTGAAGTTGTTATTAAAATGTATTGATTGTAGGAATCATAGGCGTAAATAGCTTGATGGAGCAGTAAAGTCATGAGTAAAAGAGGGCTGTATTGACAGACAAATTCTTAGGTTCATTAGGGTTTGGTGCTGAAACAATATGGATTTTTATAGATGGGTATATATGGATGGCGGTGTGTGATACTGTAGCTCAATATTTTTTGGACAGTTTAGTTTAAGTATTTAATGTGAAATATGACTTATAGGTGGGTTATCTAACTTACATACATGAAAGAAAGAGCCCCATGTGTCAGTATTTGCAGGTTTTGAGCTGAGCGCTGGTTGGCTGAGGAACACTGGTCCTCTCTGTTTCACTGATTTGTCTGAAAAAGCTGATGACAGAAGTCAAGAACACATACATGTGAAAACAAGCTATAGAACCGATTTGATTGATTGGTTTCTTTTTTTGTGGTTTGAAAGTGATCAGTGAAGTGTAAATAATCCAGTGTTATTTTTATTTTTTTTACATATTTTTTTGAACATGAAATTCCAGTGATTCATTCATAAATAAAGCAATGTTATGAAGAAAATCTGCTGACAGCCAGCGTTTTTAATAACTGTATTGATTTACGGTTGGCCTTTTGCATGACATCATATTAAAGTGCCCACAAAGCAGGAAATAACCTTTTTTTAATTTGAGCAAAAAGGCCTGCAGAATCATTGTGGGAACAGAGGGAATAGGGACAGTCAGAGCAATGGTGTCTCGTGTTCTGGAGAATAAAAATTACTCAAATGTTTTGAAGATACACAAAAAACACAAGAGTTAAACCTGAAAGCATTCCAGGTCATTGTATCGAGCAGAATATATTACTATACTATATTATATTAAAGTATAGTATTTTTTTTTTTTTTTTTTAGGAAACATGCCATGTATTATTCCTGAACATTTTTACATTATCCTTTGTCCAAACTTTTTTCCAGAAATAGAGAAACATTAGATGCCTGTTGAGCCATATGAGATTCTATAATGACCAGTGTGTCATCCTGATTGAATCTCCCATACAGCAGTGTCCGCATGACCGCCCATACTGATGCTACAGCCTACTGTAAATCCAGCAGCCCACGTCAATGACACTTTCTACTGGTCTGCGATAAGGTCACTTATTCACCAATATGTGATTTCAACTCAAAACACACAAAAGAGAAGCACCATCTCTGGAGCATCTATTTCAATTTCCACAGCCCCAATCTCAACCGTTTGCTAAAAAGCGCAAAGGTCATTTCTCCACAACAGCCAACAACAAAAAATCACTATTGCTTTGTCTCACTTCACATGTTTTCCAGGCCAGATGTGTCAAATGCGGCTAGCATCGGAGTCTATCTGGTTTCCAAGGGGAATTACTGAAAGAGGAAATGGACACAGGAGCAGGAGCAGGGTGGCCGACAGTGCCGTTAACATTTCCAACGGGAATTTTCCATGAAAATGAAGGGCGCTGTCCAGAACATGTTTATGCTTCATTACTTGAGCACATACACAACAATAACATCAGGATAATGGCAAACAAACAGGGATGACACAAAGAGGCAGACAACTCGGCTACAGCGGGACATCACAGGGTCACCGGGTGATACAGGCATTTGTGGATAAGATTCAAGCAGATGGAAATCAATGACAGATTTCACCTTTCAACATAGCATTAAAATAAAACTAAATACAATACAAAATACATTACTGACTTCTCATCTAGTGTGTATAAAAGAGGTTAGATTAATACACTTGAAAGAAGACAAATGATGCATTATCTTTGGCCATTAAAATGATAATGTCACTATTTACTTGTGTTTTGTTTTTGTTCAAATTTGAAAATTACCAGCTGAAAACACAGCTACCCACCTTTGTTTTAAAGGGTAGAAAGGTGCTCTGTGTTGTGTTGTCATGCAATACCATTACAGGACTGAGAAAAGTTACATGTTTGTCCCAGAAGTGTCTGATATTAGCGTGCGTGGGTACAAAAACAACTCCAGGTCTGTTTTTGATGATGAATGTTTCGAACAAAAGCTCAAACATGTCAACTTTGCAAACAAAAAAATGTTACGACCAAAATGGTGAGTGTGACACAAACAGACACTGAGCTCGAGTTTACTTATCAACGTCATTCAATAGGATCCAGAGAGAGTTGGAGCAAAACTTTGTCTATGAGCACTTCCCTATTGGGCTTCATTGAGCAAGAGGATTGTTCATATTATATATTAATACAGTCTATATGGTTTAGACCCACTACACTAACAAAGGCAGCCATGGTTTCTTCTCGCAATAATCTCAACTCTAACATAACTAACTCATAGTTTTTACTTTGAGTATAAAAAATAATTGAGAAAGTAATGAAAAACTAAATATATTGGCTGTCTCAAGTGGTAAATCACCTTTCAAGTTGGTTTTCATGCAGGCTGTACCCCTTGAGACAACATGCGCAAACACACCCACATATAGCACAGGTAATCCAATCCACACGGTCACAAATTATTTGCCTCATTGCAGTAAAACTTGAAAGTGTTTTCCTATACCTCTGTAAAGATACAAAAACAAGACAACTGCAGGAAAGATCTGGTAAAAGACAATAAAACAATTAAAATGCCTTAATTCTATTTTGGTGTTTTAAGTTTGTCTAATGAGTGAATGCCCTCAAGAAATGTTGGATTTAATAACAAGCAAAGCCTTAAAGAAGCAGAAGAATGACTCAAAACTCTGTAAATTGCGTGGACATATGAAACAATGGGTGCCAACAACAAATGACGATCTTTATGCATTAACCAGAAGCCAGTTCGAACACAACCCATTAATTACAGGCTAATTCTACATAAAGACACATGGCTTTGTTTGTATTTTTCACTTAAAATGGTGGGTGTCACATAACATAGCCTATAGTCACTCATTGAGATGCATCGAACGGGAAAAGAAAACAGCCTCAAAGCCGTATACGTGTCACATTTTACGAATGCTTTAAAGACTGCAATTTATGCCATATGCTCGATGACGGTATCTATGGAAGGATTTAAAACAACAACAAATTATGACGCAGCTAGCTGAGTGGTAGCTTACTATTAGTCAATTCATGATGAAATCTTAGTTCATTTTTCAGTCATTTAAAAGGAGAGAAGGTATTTCATTTTCTCTAAGTTATGGCACAAAAAGTAGCAAAAGTCCTAACTATGTGTGTTACTTACGCATGATTACTTATTTTTGTTCCTGCGTTCATTTAAAAAAAAAAAAAAAAACTACTGTATTTTTTGTTTGTGAATTTTGTCATCTAAGAAAATGTTAAGAGCCAAAACCAACTATATTTCAGCTAACAAACTGGCTTACCCAATGAGAGCCCCATTCTGCTCTCTCTGATCGGATAATCTGTTTCAAGACAATAAACATAAATAACATTGTATTTTTAATTAAGAATAACTCCCTGAATATGGATCGAATATGATTCATACATGTGACCTGTTATGTAGGGACACACACATAAAAGATTGAATTTTAAATGGAAAAAATGCATACAGTGTCTTTAAAATAATAATTTGTTTCACTTATTCTGCAGAGAACCGTAGCCAGCGTGGCGTCACAGGTGAATGGTGCATTATGGGGGGAGCTGGTGGTCAAAAGTCAAGTGCTCTTGTGCTGGCTGCAGATGTTGTCTAAAATGAGAAACTTGGAGGATGGGCCGTTGTGGTAGAGCAATCTGTTTACGTCAATAAAACAATAACCTTTATCAGACATGGTGCTGATGGAGAAGCTATTTTTAAATGTCAGGAATAATAGTGCATTTAACTCAATATTCGCCCTTACAATTACCATCTTTGAGATAAGCACAAATTCCACATTCAAGATGGAACCATTTGCATCCCCAAATCCCTCAAAATGCTTACCAAGTTTTAAATAAACACCAATTTACGCTAAGCTCTTGATCGCCCCACAGGCTACAGCACGGAAAGTCAGACATGAGTTAATTAACCAAAACCAATTAGAGATTGCTTACAGAATAAAGATGATCAAAGAAGGAAGAGTTTCACCTACAGCAGTGAAGCCTGACACAGACACTCGGGCGGAATGCGGAGATACCGAGATGTCGAGAATGAGAGAAATTGGTTTTGACAAAGAAGGACTCAACCAAGACCAACCTCATGGCTTCAGTGAAAGACGGGGAGGAAACACAACCCAACGACGAGACTACTTTGAAGTTGGGGTACCTAACTTGTTTTTGTTTCATTGATAATATATGGAGTCATCTCTCTTCCTCTTACTAGAACTGTTGGTGCCATAAGAACCGGCTCGGACTCTGAGGAGCACAGGGACTGGCCTCCTGCTGGAGCCCAGGGCCAGGACTAGACATGGAGAGGCAGCATTTCAGATTTATGTAGCTAGAGCCTGGAACAGTCTCCCTGAAAATGTGAGAGAGGCATTTTAAAGACAGGTTAAAGACGGTTCTGTTTGCCTGTGCATACAACTGAAGGATTTTATCACTATTTTGAATGCACTGTGGTTATGTGTCTATATATTTTTAATTCTTTATCATTTTAATGTTTTCAATTACCTGTGTGTTTTTTGATTGTGTTTTAAATGGTGATTTGTGTTGCCCTGTGTTTGAAAGGCGCTCTAAGAATAAAGATTGATTGATTGATTGAAAACAATATATCTTGTTTATTTGTGACTTGTAAGAAAGTGCCCTGTCACTGCTTTGGGCTGAGAGCAGTTTTAAAAAGCAGATCTAAAGATGTGACAGAGCCCAAACTGTTTAGAGAAAGAGGGACTAGTCACAAAGAATTTACCAATACATAGTTATTTTTGTGGTCTGAAAATTAGGTACCCCAGCTTTAATATAAAATAATCCTCAATTTTCCTCATCATATTTTAAATGAAATGGTTGGTCCTGATTGGTTTCAATCCGCATCAGAGCACAATGGAAAAGTTATGATGATTTCTAAATATATACTGTACGCTTTATAAAATTATATATTATTTCCAGGCATCGTGTTATCTGTGTTAAAATAAGGAATCATTCGAAGGCAAAATATCTTTCTCTATTTTGCAATTACTCAGGTACCAAGCTTTTAAACCACAAACAATTAGCTGTGTAATAAAATCATCCAACTAGTTCTTGGCACTAAAACTTTGGTTCTATGCCCAGTTTGATTCTATTCCATCCAGGGACATGTGTTGCAAATTAGTTTTGGCTTTCTGTATCTGATTAAAAATAAAGGCTCAGCAAATCAATTCTCAGTCAAAAGAGTAAAATGAAGACTTACACGGTTCTTTCTTACGAGCACATGTCAGAAGTTACCATAGACTGTATATATTAAATAAATAATATTAAATAATAACTCATTTTCTAAACAGATAAAGACGGTATTTTGTGTGTTTTTTATGTTATGTTTTGATGCCTCTTTCTGTTGTAACTAAAAAAGTACTTAATGGTTTCCTCATCTGGTAGATCGCCTTTTGAGTCGATGTATCTACTTTAACATCAAACTGGTTCTCATCCATTTGGTAAAGGCCTATAATGAAAAGAAAAAGAAAAATAAGGATTCAAAAATGATTTGTGTCTACATCTTGAAAATACAAAAAGAAAAAATGGCATTGCTTTCTTAAAGGAGTGAATATGAAAGGGTTAAAGGGCAAACATCGGCCTGATATATTGGGCATAACGTAAAGCCTGGCTCGATAGTGTGTTCTTCGCCACAGTGGTAGTATTTAACATAATATTACCCGAACACATCATGATCGCGTCACCACTGATCAGCAGCGGCACGAGACGAAGGTGCAGTCATCGGAAGTCTTCCCCGGTGAAACATTTGGCACAAAATACACAGAGCGTAATCGTTGTTGAGACAGAGACGATGGATCAAAAGCACCTGGAGACACAGACTGGAGCGGACAGGTTCCCATCTCTGTGTTTATGCAGCAGCAGAGATGTAATAAAACCTGTTGTAATGCATTTTGCGTCTCTGAGCAGTTATATCACAGGTTTACTGTAGATGACTGTGGGTGCTCTTCAGATTCATTCTGTAGCGACAACAGACCTGCATTATGAGGCTGCACTCAACAAAATATACTCTCTTTTCTCTTCTTCGGTCTAAGCATGCATTCTAGTATTTATAATCCGTAAGTAATTGACGATATGTGAATGTGAAATGTTTTCTTATTCCCTGCTGATGGCCAAAGAATAAAAAAAGGAGTAAATAAATAAAAAATGTCCTTGTATCAACTAATAATTTACTATTTCTCAATTAACATCAATGTACTGTTTTTGAGGAAAATCAATTCAAGAATTATACTGTTAAGTACATTTGAAGAAAGTACTTTTACAAGAAATAGTATATTATTTTAATTCTTGTAATATTTTGATTCTCCGAGTAAAATATAAACTCTACTAAACTCCTTTAGGGGTTTTTTAAGGGAAATTTTCTGTATTTACCGTCTGTATAGAAGTAAGTTAATCGACAAATCGCTTTTTAAAATCATTTTTTGAACCTTTTATGACTCAGATAACTCTATAAAGACTGCAGAATTAAATTAGAATATATTTACAAAGTATTTACATTCAAACAACTCAATATGTGACAAGGTGTTCTCCAGGGGCAACACTTCATCTTTGTTTTGGCCAAATTAAGAAAAAAATACATTTTCCAAACCACTAATATATTAATCAAAAGAATTATCGTCCAACTAAAAGATTATCAAGATTATGAAGATGAAGATTAAAGATCCTTTATTTGTCCCACATGGGGACATTTCAGGAGAGTCTGTAGCAAACATTATGTTTGTTTAAATTTACTGTTATTATTATCATTTATTTTCAAAGCACGCAGCCTCTTGGTTAGAAGAGGCCTGTAATGGTACTTTTAATATAGTTTGATATAGCGCCAGAGTTTTTCCATAAATTTGATGTGAAAGAGACAAAAGGTGGAGCCCTGAAATGTTATAAGAGATGGAGGATGACAAATATCGATCAGAAAAACACATACAATTAAACATATTCAAAAAATGCAAGGAAACATTTATGGGAAGCCAGGTCCCTGTATATAAAGTGTCCTGGATTCAGGAGCTCATGCAATGATTCTGCTCTTTTGACGTTTAAAGGGTGGATTCAAGTTTTTTTTGTGGTCCATATAATATTTACACAGTACACACTATTTTATCGCAGCTCATGTTTAGTAGTTTCCCTTTTATTGAAACGATTACATTATGAAAAAACTTTATTTTAAGAAACACTATTGTTAGAAGCTAAGGGGTGGTGATGGGGCATAACCCAACTGTCTGTGAGAAGTGACTGGTGCGAGAGAAAAATGCAGTGTATTATGTGACACTGTCTCATCGATCACAGATGTATTTGGTGATTGGACACGAGCCCCTGAGCTCCCTGTCCCTGCGCTGATAAGAGCGGCCTTCCAAAGCCAGACCTCTGCAAATTATACCGATTTATTGAAGAAAGTCAGAACAGCTCACACCACAGACCGCCCGGACTCAGCTCTGCGCAGATAAAAGTGTCAAAGAGGAGGACAAGCTTTTGAATATTGAACACTACAATATAAAGATTAAGATTGAGAGATTCTTTGTTGGTCCCACAGTGGGGTAGTTTCAAGTTACAGAACAGTAGGAATGAGGACCACAAAACACAAGATAAGTGTTTAAAGGTTAGCCAACTCTATAATTGGAAAAATAATAGTATAGCCAACTCTATAAAAAGGTACAAAAATCTTTAGCATAATTTAGAGGAAAATTACATAAAATACTGTATACTCTTTTTTTTAACCTCTTCATACATATATATAAGGCAGCACACAATGGCTACAAAACAGTTATTAACTTTAAAATGGAATACATACAAATAAAAGAAATTATTGTTTGGCTGGGCTCATGGGAGTCTCTTTAGCCTTTTGCACAAGGCAAATGATTGGTTCAGATGCCTAAACTTAAAATGGACATACTTTTAGGATGTATCCCGTCAATCCTTGAAGGAACACTAGTTTAAAGTAGTTGCACTAAAAACATTTTTAGGCCGGAGCAACAGACCCCACAGCTCCCACAAAACTCTTCCTGGGTACAGCTATACTATTATTATAGTTCACCTCTCATTTATTTAAGCTACAGGTTTTTGTTTTTTTTTTACAGTGCAGATAGCTTTGTAGTTTCTCTTCAAATATTACATCATGTTCATTTTCAAGTGTAAAATATTGTGACATGAGCCTTTGGGGATAAATCATCTACCGGTACAATTTGGCACAGTATAGCATTACACATAAGAAACTGTATTTATTTGCTTCACTTAAAGCCAAGAGGAGGCACCCAGGGACAACAAGTCGAGTCTCCAACTGGACAACTCTAGTCTCCATGTAAAGACTCCATTACTGAGTCACAAAACATCATCCTTCATATCCAAACGCTACAAATTCCTTGTTATGATCAAACAATTTTTTTAAGATATGGTAATTTTTTGTGGAGTTCCTGCCACCTGCCTTAAGACAAGAAAAAATATGCTTACTGTTTGTTGTATTAGTTTTGGCATTTTATGTTGTACAACAAAAATCTACACTGCAAGTACATGAAAAATAATAATAATAATAATAATGATAAGGACAATATATGTTTGTCTATGGAAAATATACAGAAACCCACTTCAGCGAACACTCAGATCTAACTAACTAAAATCCTATATTTATTTGTTTGTTTGATCAGTTTATATATTATTTTTTTCCTTATTCATTCACTCAGCACAAGATGGTCGTAAACTACAACAGTAGCCACAGCTGTCCCACTGTGCCACCTGCTGCTCCAAGAGGTCTCCCATCATAGGATTAACCAGGCCCTGTCCTTAGTCTACAAGATCCGAGCTTTCTCATGCAAGTTTGGCCATTCTTTTCTATAAGACTGACCGGGCCGAGAGGTCAACAGTGTGAGTTGCAAACGATATTTATGACTGGCAACAACAAGCAGTAAACTCAAAGTCACATGAGGATTAATGAGCTAAAACAGCAATAAAGTCCTTCAGCAATCTCAGACGTCACAGATCTGACAATCTGGGAATGGGGAGGAGGATTCCAGAAGGACGTTATTCCTTTACTTGCGTGGGCGTAATGTCATGGACAGGTGTGAAAAGTGGACCAATAACATGTCAGCTCTTTTACAGCAACTTACAATAATGTTTCCCTTTGTGAGTAATAAACCTGCAGCATCTACCTGAAAATAAGGTGCTCCACTTTAAACTGCGTCTCTATCACTCCTGTGGTCCTCAGCCGCACGCGCAGCACATCGGTCTCCGTCGGCACGTAGTCTGGAGAGATTATTCGACTCATGTTGTCGAAGAAACTGCACACAGAGGAAGTGAAGTGCTTAATATCCCTGCAGAAACACTGGAGATCAAAGAAGAGGCGTTGGGTGCTGTGTACAGACTTGTGTCATTTGCCAAGCGGAGTGAGTTGTGATAAGGGTAGGGTTTTCTCCGGGGCACAAAATGAATATGCAAACAGTTAAAACAAAAACACACACAAGGTTAAGCATCTGCACACAGATTACGGCGGGAGTAATCAAACGAGATGAGAAACATGGAGTGACGTCTGTGGCTGCGCTGAACCCACAGTGGCCTTCTCAGTCGTCATCCGCAATAAGGCTTTTGGACAGTTACCCACTGATCCTGCTGCTCATACAACACAGGACCAACGCACGTACGTCTGTGAGGACTTCATTCAAGCTCTGTGTCTTCGAGTTCAGCAGTACCCCATATATTGAGGTGGATTTCTTGCCAACATGTGAGGTGTGTATTAGTGTGTACACTGTAAGTAAATTAACAACAAATGAAACATAAACATCATAAATCTATACATTTACAGAGTATTGAGGTATACGCTAATTGACCTACTGACTAAATCATGCATTATGGTTAAGCAAACTGGGTTAAGGTGATTCATTCATTCAGGGTCCAGAGATTCAAGACATTTATTTCATACATAGGACACACTGTATCAAGAGGTGATGAATAATCCATGCTTGTCTTACATGTGTTACTGTCACTTTGTCCCAGGCCCTCATGCTGCTAAAGATATACAGATGTATACACACAGATAAATATTACTTGCACTTGAATTCACAGTCTTTTATACTTGCTCCTTATTCTGCTAAAGTCAGGAGTTTTTGTACTAAGTCTTGCTTCTTCATCATGCTAAAAATAGAGATTGTATACTGCTTATGTTAATGCTAGAGTTAGAGATATTATTTTATTTTATTATTATCAATTTATATTGTGCTGTGTGGTCTCCATTGCTCTAATTAACCTATTTATCTATTCAAGGATAGCCCCGATGAGATTAATCATCTCTTTTTCGAGGGGGTCCTTTCTTACAGCGTCATTCAAATAAGGTTTAATAAATAATTATATATTTTAGTACCCTCCACTGGGACAAATGAGTGTTGAGTCCTCACAATGATAGACTCGCAGGTCGGAGTGTACTCTTCCAGGAGAGTGGAGATGACGATGACACGTCTCGGTTCTCAGTGGGATCCAGGAGGGCTGTCGGTGTGGATAACCCCAGAGAAAAGGCCTCTGGCTGGGATCAAAAATGAGAAGAGACAGCCTCCTGGAGATACTGTGCTTTGTCTTTAACACTTGCTGACCAATCAATGTCTTTAACCAAAATTGTTGTCACTTTTGATTATTTTTAAACCCTGATTGGTCATTACAGCTATAGCTTTTGGGAAACAACCCATTCTGATACTGGTTTTATTATTACAACATCACTTCTGCTTACTATATCCTCGGTTGGACTAGATCCCCACTGACAGCGGACATACGGTCAAACATTAAGTCCTAAGTGTTGTAATTAGCTCCCTGCTGCTCTCTTCACGCGCAGTACCCTCATACTCACTACAGGGCAGAGTCGTTGAGTTCATACTCGTATCCTCTCGCCGCTGCAGCGTTCACGCCCTGGTCGGCCCACAGACAGGTCAGAGCGTGGGCCACGAACGGGAACAAGACCTGCTCCTCGTCAAAGCACCGGCCGCACGACAGCACAGAGTGAGCGTGTACCTGAAACATAAACACATGCTGAGTTAAAGCTGGGGTACCTAAGTCCCATAACGATGCCTATTGTTTGTCCCATCGAAAAGAGTGCACATTATGCTGCTTTAATCTTATCAATAAATGTTTGTATCTTTTGCAAACTAGTACAAAAAAATCCTAGATTCCTATGAGTTACTATTTGATGTTTTGATTTGTTCTCTCTTTCACTTTTTCAGATTTTTCCTGTCAGAAAAAGATGCATCTCAGGTATATGCCTTTTAATGCACAACATCTCACACTTTTGTTAATGCACCACACAATCACAGACATACTACACTAAAAATATGTCCAATAGTCAGAGGACAAATGCCCAAAATAATAAAAATTGTAAACCGCTTTGTGACTCTGGTCTGTGAAAGGCGGTATATAAATAAAGATTACTTACTTACTAAAGATTACTTACTATTGAGGAATGCTGTCGGAAGAGAGCCAATAACAAATAATGCCAATATTAAGGACGCTTGTATTGTTGTTATTGTTATCTTCATCATCATCATCATCACCATCGTCACTATTACTGTTATTTTCTTCTTTTTGTTGTTTTCATTGTTCTCTTGCCTCTCTCCTCTTGCCCTTCGTTAACGGTCACTTACAACATACCACAAATTCCCATCAATAAGCTTGGATAACTAATCAATGCAAATAAAAAAGCAAGAAAAAGTTGATCAAAAGGTGTAACAGACGACAAAGATACCAAAAAACTGGTGATTGAAGCAAACTGTGAGACCTATGGACTAGTGTGACCAGATTGTATCACAGCATTATAATCTGTGTTAATGTGGGGCGTGCTGTAGTGAGGTCGCACACTTTACACTTGGAAATACCATCGGCTGAAATGAAATGCTTGATGTGATCCTGCAGTGAAGCCTTGCAGAGCTCTTGGGTTGTACAAAAAAAACGCAATTTGATTATTTTTTATATAAATGTTTACTTCTGATGGGGAGTTTTTCACAGATATAGTGAACAGTTGAAGAAATTAAGAACATCCCAAGACATTCAATAACTCAATGGCATAATTTTGACATTAACTGGATATAAATTAGTAATAATCATGTGAGGATTTGTGCTTTGTGTGATGTGGACCGTGAAGCGCTTTGTGTTACCCTGTGTAGGAAAAGCTCTCTATAAATAAACATGGATTGATTGATTGGTAGAATTGGCAAAAGTAAACTATAAGCTGTAAAATAAATAATCTGAAAATCTGCAGGTGCTTCCATTTCCTCATCAATTATTTATATTTCTAACAGACTTCTAAATTTAAAAAGTAATGAATTATAGCTCAAAAAACCAAAAAAGATTAGGGTTTTCCACTTTAGCGTAATGTACAGATACATTGATAGTAATTATTGTGACAGGCCATCCCACCCCTGAGTATGAAGTGAATGTATAATGCCGTTCAAAGTAGGTCAGGGAGAGCGCTCAAGACAAGATGCAATAATAATGGCATCATAATTGGTATTTCTTTCATTTTAGAAAATAGTCTCATGTCTACACTTGTGACAAAATATATGGACTGTTTTTTAACCGCCAATAAATACATGTTTTACTGTATCTACTCTTTGCTTGAAGATTCTTTATAAAACTGTGGCTAATATGAGCCTGTCAGACGTCACTGTTGCTTGCCTTGTGAATTTTAAGTAGTGACGAAGCAACATTTTAGTGCGTTTTCAAGTGTAACTAATGAGATAAAAAACATCAGCCAATAACATTATGCTAAAACATGATTTCCAGTCAAACATCACAGACTTCAATACAGACTTCAAACTATTATAATTGGAACAGTGTCATGTGTGGTTTAGTGGTTAGCACTCTGGACTCACAGCAGTAAGTTATCTAGTTTACTTTATGACCATGTGTCAGTGTGAGGGATCATGATGATTCCTAATGATTCAGAATTGCTTAAAACGGTGTAGAATTGTCAATACCAAATGATATAAAATCCACTACTGCGAGTGTGAATGAGTGTTTCAATACTGCTCTCTAGTGGACATGTGTATGCAGTGCAGTAAACGATTATTTACAGGATGGGTATTGGGGAAATAGTCAAAAAGAACTCACCTTGTTCCTGCTGTTTGCGAGATTGACGCGCAGAACTCCCATCCCGTGTAGGGCAAACTTCATGGAGGTCAAGAGGTTATCCAGGACCGCCGGCTGCAGAAGGCAAAAGTAAAGCACTGACTGAACTCAATGTTATGATGCAGTTTTAAGTACAATGCACAAAAGGGTTAAAACTACTCAAAAAAACATAATGTCACAGTAAAATTCAATCTCGTGACAAAATCGACTTTATGAACTAACAAACATAATAAACAGTGTGAATGTTGTTGCCATGTGATTCAGTTCTCCATTATCATGTATTGTCTTCAATCATTGTTGCATAAACTAGTTACTTCGCTGAGGACAAGAGGGCAGTTGTTATAAACTTGTTCAAATGCTGGTGTTTGTTAATGGACACGTTGAAGTCATAGTTTCAATATTCCTTCATGAATCAATCATATGTTCTGTCTATTAGTCATTCTGTAAACTACTACCAAACAACATTAAATCAACCACAAAGACTAATAAACTTCCTTAATAAGGAATAAGTTGAAAAAAACATTTCCAACAGATCCTATTGCTCAGTGTTGTCGATAGTGTCCAGTGCTGCATCTGCCTGATTGTATCTGCTCCGTGCACTGCAGAGATAAGTCCAACAGTTTTACAGTGAGCGTCATGTCAGCTTTGAGTCGATACAGTCACTGATGCATCAATGTTTCAGGTGCAGTAGTAATATCTATTCAAAACACATTTCTAATATTGAACACAGTGATGTTGCATCAGATGCATCATTACAGTGTCGTTAGGATGCCTAGAACATGTCATTTCTTTAACATCATGCCTTACCGTAAAAATTCTCTTTTTCATGTTTAAGGGACAAACACAATGCATAAGATTTCTATTTTAAAAGTATTTTGAGTCTTTTCGTGATCATTACTTGAACATGGAGCGTTTCATCAATACCAGTACACTTCAGTCCCAAGCGCACCAGAGTTCACTTTAAATTAACCAACTATAGGGCAGACAGACACCAGTTGTAGAAATGTGAAACAAGTGTTCACTGGTCCAGTTCACTTGGGACTGAAGTGTGAACACAGCCTTTGTATTGATTAGTTTGGTGATTGATACTTGTACAGCCTAATGGCATCATCTCACCGCATTCATCCATGTCTCTTGTCTGCTCTGATCTCATTAATCAGGCACTAATTTGACCTTAAACACTGTAGCTTTTGTATGGGCAATATTTTCACCATTAGGATAATCCACAGTCCCAAACTGCAACGTGTGCTTTTCCCATAAAAGTTTTACTATCTGCTTTATCAGTTATATAATTACTGTAATGTGCTGGAACATATTTCCATGAGCACTCATCTACAATCTAACTCTTCATAAAAATGGCAATAAAGAACTCAAATGAGCCTGGAGCTACAGTCATTGTGTGGTAATCTGAACCATCACTGATGCACAGAGGTAAAGAAATACTACTGTACGTCCAACCTACATCTTTCAAAGCCAGAAATCCAGGTTAGAAGAGTTCATACCCATTCTTCCAAGTGGGACGTTGGAAAATTCTGATTTCCTGAGACTGCATGAAAGCAGCAACACAATCCAGGACATTTGTCATCGGAATATCATCAAAATCATGCATCTAGATCAGCAGCTCGGATAACTCTCCATGAAAAAAATTGATGGAATCGTCACTATGGACACTTTTTACCATCATACAGTCTTGACTATTCTAATTCGATTAACTGGTTGTGAATGCGGCACACCTCCGGTTTAAACCCCCATAAAAAACTGTTTTAACTACGTCATTGACATTACAGCTCTCCACACAAAGCCGTAATCTGTAAATCCAGCCTGATACACTGTTCTATTGTTCTAGTCCCGTTGTGCTGCTGGGATCAGCCCGACCGCGCCGTTAGCAGTTGTCTTGTGTTTGAGAATTAGTTGTAATAACACTACAACAAAGAATGTGGCTGGACTGGCACAGGCCTAATCATTAACCACCGCTAACCCAGGGAGATGACCACAGCACACGGGGGAAACTAAAATTACATGGTTACTATATTCTCCTTTTACAGTTAGGCTATGAACCTAGAGACAAGGCCAGCATGTCGTAGTAGAAATGATTGTACCATTTTAGACTAAGACAGACTTTCATGATCCACAAGGGAAATTATTTAGACACAGTGGCTCAAAAAAGGTACAAATTCAAAAGGCCAAAAAGCAAAATATATACACATAACAATAGAGTCAATATAACCTCAAATTCTGCAAAAGGGAATTCTACCTCAGTTTCTAACCCCCATCTCAATTAAACACAATATTTATTTTGATTAATTGTTTGAAAAATAATGAATAAAACTCTTTATTTTGGGGCTCACTATTTACAGCCTGTAAAGAAAAAAATTAAAAGTGGAGAGATTTTTGCCATTGTCTTTTATAAAGCAATAAAGTTTTAGCTGTCGGGGTTCAATATGTAAAAAAAAAAAAAAAAATTACAAAAAAATACTATTTTAGTTTGAGGATTGAAATCATTCAAAACTGCTCAGATAATCTCAAATGTCAGATTAGATTTTTATTAATAACGGATTTGGCAGGAAACAACATTACATACTAATCCTAAAACGTGAGGACACAAATCTAAAAATATCACAAAACCCTAGAATAAAAGTATTTATAACCACAATAAACAAAAGGCGGTTTTCCAGACTGTTTGCCAGTTTATGTGAGTTTATTCGGGTTTCAATATTTATGAAATAAGAAGTAGTTTTGTTACTATAGCTTTGATTATAATCTTATTTCTGATACTTGTGAAAGGTTTACATCTGTCGAATAGACGTATGCATTGTGTAGCACGGACCAATGAGATGTAAAGCCATCCACTACAACAAAAGCAGCACAGGAGCCTTGAGCAGCAAATAAATCCCCTTCTTCTCCCCAAATTCCTCTGTGAGCCCCCGTCCCAGATCCGCCGACCAGATCAACACAAAACAAAGCAGAGTGAAGGGACAGGGGGTGGTCATCAAGTTGTTTACTGGTGAGACAATTCAAGATGCTAGATATCTGTCAGCGGCGAGATAAATAAACTATAGAAGCTGTGTGTTTGTGAAGAGGGAGGAGTGGAAGGAAACAGGTGACGGAAAGAAGCAAGCTGTCTTTCCATTCAAAGTCAGGGTGTTACATGGAACAGTGAGTCAAAGTGTCAAAGTGTGTGTGTGTGTGTGTGTGTGTGCGTGTGTGTGTGTGTGTGTGTGTGTGTGTGTGTGTGCGTGTGTGCGTGTGTGTGTGTGTGTGTGTGGTGTGTGTGTCAGCTCAGGCAGACTGTTCGTGTGTCTCCTGAACTTTTCCTCCAGTGTAAAAGCAGTTGCATTCAGGTAATGAGGTCAAAGTATTTATAATTTTCTCTGATGAGATGTTTACCAGTGTCACCGTGCTACAGATTAGCAGCAATATTTATTATATTTAGATGCACAATAATCAAGATGTTTCCATGTTGAATTTTGGCAACGACTCTTATGCATTTTAGGTTTATTTCAACGTTTTATGAAAGTACAAAGAACACTGCACAGATGTAGACCATCTAGAGCAGGGGTCTCCAACCTATAGCTCAGGGGCTACCAGTAGCTCACCAGCCCCTTTCAGGTAGCTCGCCAAAGGATTCAAAAATTAACACATGATCCTGAATGAATCTATTATAAGTAAAAATCTAAGGTTATACAGTATTATAGTAGATTTACATGTGACCTCCATGTGTGTTCTCTCTTGTCTTAATTAATGCATCAATTTTTAGTTCTTCTCGTGTATAAAAGTAGCTCTTTGATAAAGGTTGGAAACCCCTGATCTAGAGGATTCACAGAAAAGTGCATGAATAATGATTTCAACATGAAAGTATCTGTTCTATTAAACCAGTATTGTATCATTCTTAAATCATAGGTCAATTGAGTCACTGTTGTCTATAAATACAAAATCCATGAATTTCAATATGTCCAAAAAAGGGAACATAAACCATTATTAAATACATTCCTTTCACAACAGGAGAGACAGGAGTGAAGAATGCTCCTTATGCAAGTGAAGGAGCAGGACCCTGGAACAGTTTATAATCCTGGAATGCATCCGAATGCCTCAGCAGCCTGCGAAAACAACTGTCTCTCATACTTCAGTGTGAACCCATCATCTGCCAAAACCCACACCAGTTTTCTGCATTTTCCTCAGACATAAATCACATTTATAATAGAAAATGTGATTCAGGCTCTGGAGGCTCCACACAGGAACTCACACATTCTACAGCTCAGAGTTTGGAAAAAAGGGGCAATAGGGCAATATCTGGTAACTGCAGTTTTAAATGAATAGCAGTTACATTGTTATTATACAGTATTAACAGAGATCATCTTTTTTATCTCAAAGCAAAACGATCTGATGAAGGCAGTATGGCCATAACTGCAGTTGAGAGAGCGATTCTGTTCAATCAATCAATTTTATTTATAGAGCCCTTTGCAACACTCAAGGCAACCAAAGTGCTTCACAATAAAATTACATAAAATCCATGTTATTTATGCATTAAAAAAATAAAACAGTTAAAAAACATTTAAAAAGTCTCACCTGCTAATGAGTGTTAATGAGTGTAAGTGTTAAACGCCAGTCTGAATAAATATACGTTTTGAGCCTCGATTTAAAAAGGCCAAAATCAGTGAGGATACTCATGTCAGGGGGCAGCTTGTTCCGGAGTCTGGGTCCAGCGACTGAGAAGGACCGGTCACCCCAGTGTTTGGACCTAGTCTTTGGTACTTCCAGGAGGAGTTGAGATGATGACCTCAATGGCCTGAGTCACGAACAGACAAAAGTTTAGACAAGTATAGAGGGGCGAGGCCATTGTGAGGTCTACATACGCTTTTCTCCTAAAAACTAATATTTGTACCATAAACAGCACCACTTCTAGAGTTTATTAATAGAACTGTTTTGGTCATTGTATATGCTAAAGGAACGCTAAAAAATCAAGATGAAATAATAAATCTTATACAACTCTAGTACATAATCAATTCTTACACATTTTATGAGTAATTATGAAATGATGATTCACTACTCAGCAAGAAAGTCTCACAAGCTAAAGTGGAATTACAACCGTAGTATGGATATATTGAAACACTTACAATGATTAGTAGAATAACTGTGGAATAACTGCAGCAGATTTCCATGTTTCTGTAAGGACCGAAAAGCCACATCATCTGAAGTAACTTATGAAAAGGACAAAGCCGAGACCAATACTGAGCATTACCACACCACATGATGTACGTTAAGAGATAAAAAGTGAATAAAACATAGCACATGAATAAAACAATAACAAATACATCTCGAGAAATGTCGTATCCTCCTCAGCTTAACTATTTGTAGAATTTGTCAGTGAGGTTCACACAAAGCAGGAGACAGCTGTAACTGGGATGTGACCCTGGTATGCATAAATTAAAACCATCCCTGCTCTTAGCCTCAGAACAAAATGTGTGTAAAGTTCATTTGTAGCTTTCGTCACTGCGGAAAAAACACAACACAGAATTCAACGTGTGGATTCAAGTATCATGGGGACAATCTAAACAACAGCAACAATCAAAAAAATTCAAACTTCATTGAATTATATTTGTAAACATTTAGGGAGTTCCAACTGCAGTCTACAGGCAAACAGCACAGGGCAAAAAGAACGTGACCGGAATATTTACAATGGTCTAAATATAAGCACCCAGTGAAAGCAGTCAGCTCAAATGTTATACCTGTAACATCATAGCAACTAACACTTTTTCTAAGTAACATAAATGAAGAGGGGAGGAGGAGGGACGTAGGGGTCTTGAGCATTGTCTCACAGCACCTTAACTTCTCTCGTTTAATGATTTTAATGTATTTTATTGTCATTTTTAATTATGTTTTTATCTTTTAGCTCTATACTATGTTTGTATGTTTGTATGATTGCGAGTAAGGGACCAATGCACAATTTCCTTCTGGATCAATAAATTATCTATCTATCTATCTATCTATCTATCTATCTATCTATCTATCTATCTATCTATCTATCTATATCTATCTATCTATATGACTATATGACTATATGACTATATGACTATATGACTCTAATGTCTTGATATATGTCTAACCAGGAGAATCCCATCAAAATTTCACAATATATTTTTCAGGGAAGTCCTGGTCCCAGTGAGAGGGCAGCTATTGTGCATATTTTTCAATGGTAGGGGACCCCGGAGCACCTGGAGGAAACTTCTGGAGACATGGGGAGAACATGAAAACTCCACTCAGAAAGGCCCCACCTGGAGGTCGAATCCCCTTCAGGACTTTCTTGCTTAGAAGCCACTCAGCCACTGTGTCACTCTTTTTAGATAGATTTTTCCTGGGCTCCCTCCTTTTGAATGGATATGTGGTTTGGTTTAATGGTTCTTTAGGCACCCCCTCTGCTGCTTACCAATTAGCTTCACTTTTTTCTCCGCTTGTTAAATAGTCTAAAATAGTGGCGTTCATTTCTCCACGTTTGAACAATGACCTGAAGCCTGTCACAAAAGGCCGATGCAGAAGTGATGAAATTGTGTGTTATATTTTTATATTTGGAAGACGTTATTTATTCAAAAAAGTGTTACATTGTGTTTGTTTAATCTGAAAGTTTTATCGGCATCAGTGCTACTTCCATCACTCTGGAACACAAGGGTGAGATGCAAGCTGAAGCTGGTGGGTCTCTGTTACTGACCTTGAAGCTGACGAGTTCTTGTTTGGTGAAGCCGTTACTGTGAATAATTTTCATCTGTTTCACCAAAGTACTTTTGCCGCTCTCCGCTGCTCCTGAGATAGAGACAAAAGACACATTTATGAGCTGCACTTTTGATATTAATCTACACTGCAAATAACTGAATGTTTGTGCAAAGAGTTTTTGTAACAACCACTCAGTAAACTAAAAACCTGATGTGAAGAAAAATAAGTCAAGAAAGGCTCAAATTTTGCAAAATGTATCTTCATTTAAGCACATTTGACTGCATTAAAACAAGATTTGCCAATTGGACCAGCAGAATTATCTTGTTTTAAAAAGATACAAAAAATAAAACAACAGTTCTTGAAAAAAGACTAAATAGCTTTCTTGTTTTAAGACAGTCAGACAGAACTCAAATTAAGATAAAAAATCACTCAATTCAGGCAATTATTACCTCATATTCGATCATTTTTGGCAGAGTAAAGAACCATGCTTTCAAGATAAAAGAAGATTCAGCAACATGACTATTGCTTATGGACAGAAACAGACAAAAGTAAAAAGAAGATGACGAAACTAGATTGAATTTTCAATGGTTTAAAAAAAGAAAAAACCCAAATCAATACATTTATTCAACACAAGTTAGTATCATGTCATTAGTTAGTATTTCCCCATGTGATTTACAATAAGGGAACATGGCTTCAGAAAGAATACCCACAACAATGGGAAAAAAACTATTTATCACAAATGAAGTAGTGTCACTTGGAGGAACTGACCGGCCAAGTTTGTTATTAGTATAAACAGTTTCCTCATTGTTATACTGTTTTTCAACAACTGGTAAGACACATAACTGCTATGTGTAGTGGACTAAAACAGAAAAAATGCTGCCTCTTCCACCAGTGAGTTTGGGAAAAAGATTAAACAGAACCTGAACAAAGTGATCTTTACATTTGACCATAGAATCTTTGTGTTTGAGATTTCATAATTGCCTCATGGGGCTCTTTTCTGTGTGACTAAACACACGCCCTGTTCATGGATTAGTCGACTCAAACAGTAGCGATTGTAGGGCTGTAATAACAAATATTTTGATAATCGATTAGTCGTTTGGATCCTCAAAGGTCAGATTGTAATTCTTCATATATTTGCGCAAAACAAAGCTCGAGTGATGCCCCTGGACAACATCTTCATGACCTGAATATAGTTAGATAAAGTATATCTATATCTAACCTATACATTGGGTTGTTTGATTATAAATACTTTTCTACATTTTTACTTAATTTCACAGTCATTATAAAATTATCTGAGTCATAAAAACTCTTCTCAGCATGTTTATGGCTATGGTTACACTTACCAAATTAGTTGATACATTGTTAAATAATGGATTAATTGTGATTGTAAACTCAATGTAGTTGCTTCAGCTGCTTTGTGATTAATTAAACAATTCAACGCTACATTTCCAAGTCAAATGCGCTAAAAATGACTAAATTGACCCAAACTAAACTGACAAACATAAATTTAATGAAAACACCTCAATCACTTAAATGATAAAACTTCTATTCACAGTTTGCACATACATGTATTTTTGGCCTCTGTCACATCTGCTTTTACAGTGAAGAAGAGAGGACCAGTCATCACTCAGCCAACCAGCTCTCAGTATGTGAAAGTTAAAATGTTTTCTAATAAGAAAGTCCGTTGTGGTCGGATTTGTTCACTAACTTTCTATTGGGACAAACAAAAATGTATTTATGAAAACAAAAGAAATGTAGGTCCTCCAGCATATGTCAAAACAAATAGAGCAAAAAACAATAAAAAAATACATTCTTAACCTTTTTGTTTTGGCAGTATTCATATTCTTGGATACGACGAATACAAGATCTAAGAAACCATTAACCGACTAATCGACTAAAGAATAGACTTTCCTGTGATGGGTTGCCAGTGTTATGTTTGCTCACTGGTTTGGCCACAGTCTTACCCAGCAGCAGGATCTTCACCACGTTCATCTCCCGTTTGGCAAACTCGTACAGGTCTCGGTCTATTTTGGCACTGAGCACTTTGGCCTTTTTCTCCTCCTCCGTCACTTCTGTCCCGAGGCACAGTCCCATTCTCACCTCAGCCCGAAACCAGAGCGCGAAGCCGGGGCAGGCACCATCCAGGCGAGCCGCCCCACTCCGCCCATATGGGGAACCTCAGACCGGGGCAGGAAGCGGCAAAAACTTTACCCTGGTCCTGTTTTTTTTTGTTTTTCTCTCTTTTTTTTTTTTTTTTTACACTCAAATATGAACTCTGAAGTGGGAGGCAGAGCTGGGGATAAAAGTTTTGGTCCGTGCGCAGTAGCGGTTCAAACTCTTCCTGCCTTGGGTTACAGTCTGCACGGCCCCACCCCCATATGTGGCACCTCTGAGGGAGAGACGCCCCGGGGCAAGAGGGCTTCACCTGCATGGGTGAGCACCAGGGAACAAAAGACTTTTATAACATAACCACTACGTCTTTAATAGAGGCAAACTAAAGTTAATCTGCACAAACTGATAACTATTGTTTTTCTCTAGTTATAATAAGATCCTTTATCCGTCTCACAGTGGGGAAATTTCAATGTTGCATCACAAGTTAATGAACAGTATAGGAATGAGGAGCCCACAACACATAATAAGTAAGTATTAGTTATGGCATAACTCTATACTTGGAAAAATGAATAAATAAATATATCTTTAGCTTGATAAAGAAGCAAGGAAAACATCTGCATCTTCTTGTGCAGGCATGTCAAACTCAGGCTCGGGGGCCAAATCTGGCCCGCAAGACCATTTTAGTGGCCCCTAAAATGATTTTAAAATGTTAACTTTTTGTGGGCTATCGAGGCATGCAGTTTTATTCTAACATTTTAACCTGACACATCGTTAAAAGTTAAATAGTTGAACATAAAACAACAGGTTTAAGTTTATATTTGGTCCTGTTTTAGTTGAATCTAAACAATAAACACGTTTTGTTTTCAAATACCTTCATAATGTAAATATCCCTATTCTTTCTGCCCCAGCTCCCCAGTGGAGTTTGACACCACTGCTCTAGTGCAAGACATGTATACGTGTATCTATACATCTGCAGATAACGCAGTAATACACTTTAGTGCAAGGATTTTGGGAAATAAGTCATTAGCTCTGAGAATTCAAGTGTTCACAGTGATCTAACAACTGTTAGCTTCAACATGTTATGTTATTGGCAGTAAATATGAAAGGATTGCCTCAAGAAGGGATGAAACTTGAATTGTATGGCACTAAAATATGCCTGTCAAAAAGCAAATTGTAAGCATTTCGAATATTTTTGAATTATTATTAATGGCAACTGTTAAACACAATCAACATCCGTCCTTTAGGGCTTTTACGAACATAAAAAAAGGTTCTGGGGTTAATTAGTCACAAAAGCAACACAATACTGTAATACTGTTTTTGTTCATAATTGATGTTTAGCCATAAAAATGATCATTATGGGGTAAGTAATGTTCAATGTTAATGTTTTTTTTTTCAAGATGTTTAAAGGATTTCCTAAACACAATACTGCATTATTTCTCAGTGTGAGAGTTGTCATTTATTTGCAGACTTGACGGGTCTTAAAACACTATAATTCACTTTCTTCCAGACATATGCACTCAGTGTCCAGTTCAGCCCCATTTTGCACAAGTCAGTCTTGTATAAATGTTCATAGTCGTTTCCATTTTAGTTTCATTGTGAGAACATGGCCCAATTCAAAGTTTATGACCTCATTTCTAACACCCAGTGAACCGTGGTTTTCTGCTGATCCAACAAAGAGCTCCACTGCATGCAAACTCAGCGCCTCCTTCACAGACACGCAGGATTAAAAGGGTTAACAAAAAATGGTGAATTTGTTATAATAGATATTTATTTGTTAAAAAGGATTTCCACAAGTTTATACATAATTACAAAGCTGTGAAATTCCTGCACTGTTATTTCACCGTCACTATGCACACACACATTTTCTGCCCATCTAAAACAATAGACATGAGAAAGACAGAACTGCGCAAAAGTTTTGGAAAGACAATATATATATATTTTTACAGAGATTTGGATTTATGATATTTTGAGAGGCAGCGTGAATAGATACATTAATAGTGTATTTCTTTAAAGCCAACATTGCTTTGCATACAACAATGAGTATTTATAATTTGTTTACAACATTGTGATAATTTAAGATACCAGGACATCTAGCAACTTTCATTTTACTTTTCCAACTCCAAGACTGATTTTTTTTTTTTTTTAGGCACAAACCTGTAACTCTACGCATAATAAATAGTTTTTTCCAGATTGTCTACATTTCACTTGTTTTTTTCTCTCTCCAACAATATGACAAGAGTCCAGTGGTCAACACGTAAAAGAAAAACTCACAGCCCTTAAGTTATAGCTTCAGAAATAGGCACAACAGCCATTCATTCATTCATTCATTCTTTCACAGACACACACACACACAAACACACACACACACACACACACAGGTAACTGGTGCAAATTCAGGTCGATAAACAAGTTAAAAGCAGATTAAAACAACTCTAACAACTAATAATGTTGTTATCATTGACATAAGAAAGTCTATAAAAATCTCAAAGCTATCCACAGTGATGACACTCCTATGAAAACGCTTTGATAAATTTAAGTTTAAAATCTAAAACCCCACAAAACTAACCATAACTTTTTGTCAATACGTTGTGACGAGTTAAAACATATAATTCCACGTTTAAAATAAAAGTGTGATTTCTTTAAAACAATGTATGGTTTAGGAGTTAGAACAATAGTTAAAATCTATTGATATTAAAGAGCGGTTTTAAAATGATTTAGTGTTTCTTGGACTAAGTGAAGAGGTGTGTGGCCAATATTATACTGGCCAGTTCATACATTCATGCCCAGTGTAGGACAACATGGCTCCTCCAGGTTCGTCCCAGTTAAAGCTGACAGTACCAGAGCGTGTTCACTATTGAGCAGCTTGGGTCGTGGCTGTTTTCTGCTCCTGAGTCTCTCGTCTCTTCATCGCTTCAATCACAGCCATCTCTTTGGCTTCCTTCTTCTCATTCCGAGCTTCATACTGCAGCCTGGGAACAACAAATAACATGGTTTGACAATCAGTCCAATATGATATAGGTGTGAGAAAAAAATAACAGATATCAGAATGTACATATTTCTTTTTCAAAATGCAATATACTGTGTGAATTGGATATTATATTTTAACTATGGGCTGTTTTGTATTGTGTCCTTAATAATAATAATAATAATAATAATAATAATAATAGAACCAACCACATGTGTCACTTTGTCCCATTCCCTCAAACTGCTAACATGTACAGATGTATACACACAGTTATAGATTACTTGCACTTGAATATACAGCATTTTATCCTTGCTCCTTATTATGCTAAAGTCAGAGGTTTTTGTACCTAAGTCTTGCTTCTTCGTCATGCTAAAGTTGGAGATTTCATTCTATTTTAGTATAGAGTTATTATTTATTTATCTTGTGCCGTGTGCTCCTCATTAATACTGTTTTGTAACTTGTGACGCAACACTGAAATTTCCTCACTGTGGGATGAATAAAGGACCTCTTAAATGATGTAACTGATGCAATACAATAGTGAATACACACCTGTTTTCAATGATTCTCTGGACGATGTCATCAGTTGTGAGGTTGTTCTGACTGTCTATGGTCTTAAAGATGCCTCTCCTCTTTGGCTCCTGTAGAAAAAACATGTCATGAGTAAACTATAATGAACGTTGAACGTTTTCTGTTAAAATTCCGATGAATCGAAACTAGTCAAAGCCAAAGTCAACATGTTCTCATACCATTTAAAAGTAGGATTTCCACATTCAAAGATTTTTGTAGGCTGGGTCCTATTTAAGTTATCATGCACATCCTAAAAATACACACAGAGCCTGCAGAACTAGCCTGGTCGTACCACACCTTAGTACAAATTACATTTCATACTAAGGTCTGGATTTGCTCCATTGAGCTCCGTGAACAGGTGGAGGGGTTAACTCCTTTTGCAGATTGAAACGATTGGATCTGAGTTTACCGTGACGTATGTAATGCGCCCGAGTGTGTTGTTAGCATTTAGCATTTAGCCTAGCTTTAGCCATCTCCTTTGCTGCTAACGGAGCCCGTGAGGAGTAGCGCCACCATCTTGACCAGCGATTTACATTTGCGAAACATTACCCTTGCTCCGGCTTCAATTTCTTGATAGAACCAGACCGGATTACTTTACTATGCATTCTTCGCCATTGCCAAACTACAACCTGCCCGTTCGGCGCAAACTCTTGACGTCACCGGCACCGACCTACAACACCCGCCTTCCGCGCTCTCTGAGTAGCCGGTCGAAATACGACCGATTGTATTCGCTAACACAGGGACCAGACCCTGATGGTACATGCAGTGAAATGATGATTGAACGGAGTGTACGGATGGCTATGGCCAGGCTACTGCAGAACCATTTTTTTCTTATAAATACTCACAGCATAAGGATCTGACCCATCTTTGTCTGGAAACACTTCGGTCTTCCCGTGACAAACCAAGTCCACCTAATAAAAAATAGTTGTTAGTTCATTGTAGTAGGGGACATATTCTGGTCGTCCAATGTACAGTTACAATCGGCCACCAGGGGGCAGTATAAAGATATTTTCCCCATTACGTTTCCTCATAATAGTCATTAAATATCATCAACAGACCCAAGCAATGGCCAAAGAAATATTAGTCCTCAATCATCATTAAATGTATATAAAGTATGTAGTGTATAAGACATTTAAATAGATGGAGCCCAATGTTCTCAAAGGAAATTCAACAATACAAATACAGACATAATACATCAATACTGCAACTCACCCTGAAATGATCCAACAAGTCTTTGCCAACTGCATAAGGTGCTCCAATCACCACCTCCGACACATACTGGAAACAAATGATCGTCAAAGTTACCTAATGTTGTGTTTACAATCTGATCATAACATGATCTGATGTTGGTTTTAGAGGTTAATGAGCCAAACAAAACGTGGCTATGACATTCTGTCCTTTGAGCTGATGATACAGACTTGTTGCACACTGATAGCTGAATGGACAGAGGCACAGAGCCAAACTGAGGTCACAGCGCTGAAACGTCCCACTGTGAGCAAGTGTTTGAACTCACCCTACAGGCCAGCACACTCAGCGTTCGCTCATGGATGTTCATGATTGGATAATTCTTGCCCTTGTACCGGTTCACTTCCTGACAAAAGAAGATACGATAAAAGCAGTGCGTGGATGTTGTTCTTTCCATTTAGATTCAATGTTATGAACTAAGGGCAGTGGAATAGTTTGCTTAAACTTTGATAGCAAATATTTATAACACACACACACTCTTACCTGGTCAAAATGTAGTCCAACTATGACGTAGGGTTTCTCTGCCTGTTTGTAAACCATTTCTAAGAAGTCAACATGACCAATATCTGCATCATACAGTCAAGGCAAAATTTTATAATGCATGATATTTTTGATAGTTGAAGAATTTCCATCTGTTTTGCATAAATAATATATATATTATTACATAATGTACTATCTAATATACAGTAAAGCCTGCTGAGGATGGCATCTTCATGTTTATTCCTTGATGTTGAAAAGGATACGAAAGAGATCAAAAGCCCCAGCCACATAGATAATCGAGTCACCGGGTTGAGGCTCTTTCCCTGAGGCAAACTGAATGATTTTTTGCGACGTTTGGAGAAACTGGGAGACTCCTGTCCATGGACTGTGGCCTTTGGGACCCTTCAATATAAGAAAAAAATTCTAACATAAACCAAAAACCGAATTTGAGCGATAAAAGTACTAGTTTCTAGAAGACACAGCACGCACCTTTCCAAAGTTGTCTGTATGCGTCTGATAATCTGGGTTACTCTAGAAGTCAAAGAAAAATTGAAAAACAACGCACAGGATTTGTAATCCTGCTGTATATAACCTGGGAGATCTTACCATGTTACTGTGATGGGCTTTGGTCATTAAAAGCATGCGTCCCACCAGGTCAGTGGTGGAGACCCCTTGCGTGCGTTTACACTCTTTGTACCGGCCTTCACGCTTCACCTCTTCATACGTGTCTTTACCATCGACTGTGAGGGTGATGTCATCTGCCAAACAAATAGGAAATGAGAATGAAATAAAAGTAGAAAAAACATGGGAGATAAGAGCAGAAAAGATGATAGACTGACCTCCATGCACACAGTAGTCACAGTTGTATTTGTCGAGAGTTTCCAGAGTGGTCACATAAGGCGCTCCTTCAACTATTTCATCGACCCATTTTATGGCACGCACCATTTTGTACCGCTCCGCTTGTGTAAACACAGGGGGTCCTTTGTGTTTTGATATTTCAGCTGTAGAAGAACATAGATCAGTCCAGTCTTATTCAACACAGACATTAGACCGTTAGGTCTAAAACCAGGCTTGTTCTTCACAGTGCTAAATTTAAAACATTAAAAGTATTTGTTTAAAGTAGGGATGCACCAATAATATACTGGTATGGATATCAGTGCCAATACTTTTTTAGATTGGGTATCTGCTAGATGATATCGACAATATTCTGATACACAACAAACCTTGTTACCATATGATAGTATGGGTTTTTGGTTCTTTTGAAAGACACAATTAACCTTTTCGCATCAATCCTGAAATCCTGATTGGGCCTTTGAATTAATTTAAAAAGACTAGACTAGGCTGATTATAACCCAGAAGAACGTCATTGAGTAATAACCTGTAATAAACGATTTTATAATAGTTGTGATTTGAGGGGCTCTTTTCAGTTCCTTCACAGTTCATATCAGATAATAGCAGATATAAAAACGCCAAAGTATCCTTTGAGCACAGGTCAGCCCCAAAGATTACAAAAACTGAGGTGGAGGTGAGTGTTCTGAAGATTCTGCAGGTATGTTTATGAGGCCTGGCCACAACCAAACTGTATTCAGCACAAAGTCTAGACAGGGAGGTTTCTGGCTGGTCAGGCTATTTTGATTAACAAATCTTCAATATAAAAAATCTATTCCAAAAGCTCAAACAATCATAATCTTTTGGTTTAGATAAGACCAGGCTTATCAATGTGTACTTGCCGTGTACTACATGTGTGTAGATAGTGTACTGCTATTACCATCAGTGTGTACTCCAACAATGAGGTAGTCTCCCATGCCCTTTGCTTGTCGCAGTTGATTGGAGTGACCATAGTGAACCATGTCATAACTGTTCAGAAAAATGGAATCGAACATAAAACAAAGACAACACATACAGCTACTCAACCTTCCACTAATATAAATATGTATTCACACATTACTGACCACCTATAGTGAGGCATGCGAGTTGTAGAGAATTGACTTAGTTCCTTCATACTTGCAGTAATAGCATCAAATAAATAATAGTTTGGATTTTTTTTACAGCCTCCATTTTACCCTCTTGTCTTTATCATTGCTTAGTATTTAGATACTGGGTTAGTTACACAATAATAACTAACCAGTTAATATTACAAGTTCAGATTTGTTTTTCTCTGAATGTCATGATAATTTGTTGAAACATGAGAAGGCCAGATCAATGCATAATTTGATATTTAGGCAAACTCTGCACGTTGAAATTAACACAAATATAAACTATTCTTGGACCAAGGCAGCTAGAAAAGGGCCTTTCTACAGAGCGTTATTAGTAATAGTCTGAATAGTTTATTAAGCAGTAGTTATAGAGAAAGTATAGAAGTAAATGCATTGAGTCATGAGGGAGGGCATGTGGGTTTTATGACATAATTTCTAACTTTTGTCTGTCTTGCTTATAATACTCATGCCATTATAAGCCCATAGACGAAATTGACTAGGAGATTTAACACCCTGTCAAAAGCCCTCATGGCTAATGCACGTAAAGCTAACTAGCATTAGCACGTTAGCTCAATGATAGAGTGCTGCCTAATGCCCTTTGATAAGAAAGTGAAACATCTTAACTACGCAGACTTTTGCAGATCCACAAACACACACACAGGAGAGAGGACCTACCAGCCATCGCACCACAAGCGGAGAGGGCGCTTTCTCTTATCCGGACTACACGCCGCTCCCCCCGTCTTAATGCACCCGGCGTCCCCAGTCTTCTCGTCGTCAGTCGCGTGGTGTCCGTTTTTGATCATCTCCACAGATTTACACTTATTCCAGGCTACAATTACTAAGTTTTGAGTTTTAATCAGAAGGAGCGGCTGCGTAGCTCAATAATAAAGTGTGTTTCGCAGAGGATCAAAGTGACACTGGGCTCGGATCAGCGGACAACGCCTCCCGATTACGTCACATCGTACGAACGGCTGGCAGCGATGACGTAGGTACATGTTGCGTAATAAGGTCACGTGATGAGACCCTTTCATGTTCTCAAACTTTAACTTTTGTATTATATATTTTTCATGGGTTTTTTTTCACAACACAAAAAATACCAACTGAAGCAGCCATCTAAATTGCCACTGATTGCCACTTTTTTATTGTACATAATATATCCTGCATTTAACATGTTTGCACATTTTCTCTCTTTTTGCACAATCTTGAGTGTTTCTATCCATGCCAAATGTGACATGTACATTTCTCCTTTGTGAGATAAATAAAGCATATCTTATCTTATACTATCCAAGTATCCTGAATGAAACAAAACAGTTCGTTAGCCCTGACCAAAGCTTTGTAAAAGTAAAATCAGGCCACAACTTGCTGTCTTCCTCTCATATAATATAGTTCATATATTTTCATAGTCATATATAGCTCATGATGAGAGCTGAGGGAGAGGGTGCTTCTTTCTTGTTCACTTATCTGTCTGAAAAAAGGCAACCCAAACTTGAGGATGTGAAAACTGGTTATGAACGAAAGTGTTTTGAAAGTGAGAAGGGAGTTAGAAATTTTTGTTGTTTAAAAGTTAGGTTCATCAGCAAGAAATACCTCATTGTCTCGCTTTGCTATGAGGATGAAGGTTTGTTATGGAAATGAAATGTAAGATTTGTCAAACTGAAGGGTGAGGAACAAGCCTTTTTTTTTCATCAATTAAATAGGATCTTACTGTTTATAGCAGACCTAAACGAAGAGTACCCCAAAGTCGACAATTCAGCCAACCATGAACTGTGCTACGTTATGTGAGGCTCCAGCAATTAACAAAGAAAGAGGATCCTCACAACAATCTGTAACAACCTGAAAAGGCATGAACATCAATTAGTTTTGTCCAAAGTTGAAATATTATAACTCGCATTTCGATATCTATGGAAGTTAAAAGAACACCATGACAAATATTTCAACCTTTTATATAAAATTCAGGTTACACATTGGCAGCAGCACTAGTCAAGTTGCTTACTGTATTTTCATCTGATGAGTTGAGCACAGACCACAAAAGAACATAATTCCTGAGACTAAAACATATCAGTTTGTTACATGATATAAACAAACAGTCATCCAGGAGTGAATGAAAACTAACTCTGGCTTAGTAGCATCAAAGTTATGGTTAAAAATGTAAACAATAAACAGGTAAACTAGATCCTGAGCAAAGTAACAATGGAGTGAGCATCAGCAGCAAATAAGGTTTAAATAACATTATTAAGCAAAAGATTATGGAAATCATCATTTTGACTGTGCAAACAAACAAATAACCTTAAACATACAGCATAAATGAGTGTTAGTCATGCCGATGTTCTCAATCACAATTAAGTATTTAGCTTCTCAAGGTTTTAAAATACCATACACTGAAATTCCTTCACTGAATAATTGGTGGCTTTCTATGAAATAAAACTTTTTCAATCTTTGTAAACTCTAGGCACATAATCTATGCATGATCTGTTAAACTATTTGAGTAAACCCCATGATACATTTATGATAATAAGCAAATAACCACCAAGAAAGCAACTAATATTAAACTTTGGTGCAAAGAGTACATCAGTGGTGGCTTTATAAACAAGTGAAACACATTTGAGGTAAACTGTGCTTAGTTTCTAGAATGGAGTAAAAAATACAAGACCTCTATTACACAGTCCAGTACATCAGTAACTCTAAAATAGCACCTAGAATGTTTTTGTGTTTCATCTAGCAAGAAAAAAGGGTTAATCAGACCCAACCGCACTCATGCTCAAATCTGCCAATCAAACTGGTTTCTTCTTCCCAGTTCTTCCTTTGCGATAACCACGTCCAAACCAACCACCTTGGACAGACGACGTTTCGATGGCGTCTTCCGTGTTAGCAGAGACTATCTCCCCAACAGACGGAGTAATGACTTCACGAGAATGACTTTTGGCTTCTTCCGGGTTCAAAGGCGTTGCCAAGGAAAAGATGGGATCCTCTGTCCTGTAAACAGCAAGTGATTTAATTCAGATTTGTGTCACACCAGTCTTTGGTTCAACTTGTGTTTTACCTGTTATAGGGTGGAACATGTATGTTAAGCTCCTCCATTAGAAGTTTCATAACATCATCACATTTGGCATGAATTTTAAGCACAGCCAAATCATCTTTCGGTGTCCACTACATGAGATAAGATCACGCAACATGATGACAAGCGTAAATCACAGTTAAGTATTAGTATTCTAAGGAATCATCTTATTTTTTTATATCTTTTACTGTAAACTAGACTTCATTAGTGTAAACTCAGAAAGTCAGGTTAGAACATCAAACTACAGCAACGCCCTGATCTGGCTCCAGATGGCTAGAGTTTCACAGACTTCATGATTTAAACATAGAATCATATCATGGTCTCCTGTGCGGCCGCTGCGGTTAGTATCACAATTACAATAGCCAGGGGCATCTCATTACACCTGGCTGTAAGGGTGGAGTTTGCTTGTGTCTGTCAGATTGGGCCAACTTGCTGCCAACTTCACAAATTAAACCGATTTAAGAAAAAGGTCAATGTTACTATTATTATAATTAGGGCTGCACGATATTGGAAATTAGAGCGATATTCGATATGAGTGTTTAGTATTGTTATTACAATATTATTGCAATATTTTTTTCTTTCACCTAAAATTGCAATCTGCATTGAAACGCAAGAGACAAATAACAAAAACCTTAATGATATTTAAATGCATATATTTATATACTTTTTGTTCGTTTGTTGTATTTGTTGAATGTTGATGTGCCTGTTTGTTTTGTTGTCTTTAATAAAGGAAAAAATAAATTATATAAATATATATATTTTTTAATCTTGCATATTTTTGATATATCGTACGCACCATTATCGCGATAACAATATTTTTTTGATATATTGTGCAGCCCTAATTACAATCTATACTCAGATATCTCATATCACATTAAAGATGTGAATTCCAATATAATTAAGTTTCTGCAAATGTTTTTTTTATAGTTGTCACTGAGAAGTTAGTTTTTCTCTACTGTGATACATGTTTTCAAGACTACATGAATGCAGCCTCTCACAGACACAAGCAAACTGTGGTGCTCCAGAGCACATTTGCAAAATATAAGTGAACTTAAGATATTTAGTCTCACTTTGAAGAAGTAAGAATAAAGCATACCTGAAGATTAACAATGTATAATTGTGGCCGCTTGGTTGCTGGTCTGTTCATGGACCATAAACATGGATATTTCTTTAGCACCTACAAAAACAAGAACAACTCTTAATATATTGAATTGTAAAAATAAAAAGCAATGAAATCAAGGATACCTTTAGACTTGAACCTAAACAGATAATGACGTCTGCGGTTTTGGCAGCCTGTGCAGCTCCTTCCCAGTTTAGAGGCTGTTCTAAAGTTCCCCGCTCTCCAAAGTGCACAATCGTGTCTCTGAGTTCACTGCCGCAGTGACTGCAGTCACGGCCAGTACCGTGCCGGTGAAGTGACGTCCGCTCAGTAACATCAAATAAACGCACATACTCCCTCACAGGAGTACAGGAGGTACAGACCTAAAAACAAATTAGATTCAATTTTATTCAGTTAAAAAAAACAACAACAGTACAACACTTTTTAAATGATATTTACCTCTATAAACATATTTCCATGAAGCTCAGATAAGACTTTTGTTGGAAGGCCACTACGTAAATGAAGACCATCACAATTCTGTGAAACAACATGATTCACCTAAGACAAATATGAAATTAGTATGTCTATGTTTTTGGATAAGCCAATAAACTTGATTGAAGAAAGACTTTATCACATACCAGCTTTTCCTTATGCATTGCTCTAATGCACATATGTGTGTATGTTGGCTCTGCTTTGCTAAGATCAGATGAACTGTAACAAAAACAATACATAACTGGTATAGAAGAAAACTGAATGAGCATTATATAGCATACACATTAGTTGAATTTACTTGATTGTTCGCCCCTTCTGCAGTTGTGTCCAAACCCCATTTGGACCCCTGTAGTCTGGAATAGAGGCAGCCTAAAAAATGTAAAGTACACATTAAAAACAAAGTGAACATAGTTTAAAGTTGTGGGACATACCGTGCTAATGCCAGCTCCTGTGTAAACCACCACTGTTTTCGCCTGTTTAACAGCTTGAGCCAGCTGCCTCACTTTGTAATTCAACTCATCAGAATCATCAAAAATCTGCGTAAAGACACATTAAATTGTGATAACACATGATAGACGAGTTCCCAGACAGATGGACTTTGAGTGTCACACCTCATCTTGTTTCCTCTTGAGGACAGCTCTGCGGAGCTGCCTCCTGCACAGCTCCTCCACGGTGTCCCGGTGCAGCTGCAGAACCGCGGCCTCCTCCTCCGAGCGCTCCGCCTCAGGCTTCTTTAACGCCTTACCAACCTGTTCACAAACCAGCACCCAGAGACCAGGGGTAAACATCAGCCCACACACAGACCTCAGGTAAACAGCTCCTCACTGCAGTGTCGGGTTTGCTATGAGGAAGTGGCGGTGTTAAATGTTGCGATTCATTATTGACATACCAATTTAAATATCTTCCGCTCCCTTTCCCGTTGTACTATTTTGGCCTTTTCTAGTGCTTTTCTCTCCAGTCTTGAAGACAAACCCCTGCTCGCCTCCATGACACCGATGGAAATCAGCTGAGAAACATTCAAAACAAAGCCCCCTGTGCACAGGAAACCCATGAGTTAACTGGACAGGCCCACGGAGCACTACCGCCGCCTGTGGCCAGGAGGATGAAGTGTCCTCACAGGTGCATTCAGATTCCTTTGTCCTGCACCAGCATGGGAGCATTACATTCTCGAGAGGTTATCTTCCGTTTTCTTTGATAATGGGTATTTTAAGCACCAAAAATCATGTATTCTATGATCTAGTAAAGGCTTTTGATTTTTTTTTAACCCCAAAACCAGATGAGTACCTGGGTTTAACCTTTCTAAACACTCCACTAAAGCTATTTCTTATCGGTAATTCAAGCTTTTCGTTTTTTATCATATCTCAGTAAACGTACAACGATAGAAGTTAACAGATTTATTACAGAAATAGTATAAATAACATTAAAAACAGCTTGAACTAAAAGAGTAAATGTCATGTGTATTTTGGCTGTAGTAGAATACAAGGCAACACTTGGGATTGTAACAGTACTCAGTTCTTATGACAGCATGTACAACAGAAATCTAAGGTGACTTGTCAATAGCACAAAAGGTATTGAGGATTGATGCGACCACAAGGCAAAATGGTACATAAAACAGTGAAAGATCCAAAAATGTATTCTGTAACAATATAGCAGGTCCTCTGAGCAAATTAACATAATAATAAAATCGAAATTCCCCCTAAAATTTATAAAAATACAGCTTATTTGTATTAGTATTCAAGAGAATACAATATAGCCTGGACACTGCCAGGTATTTTAAAAATTCACAAGCTCAACATCTTCCTTGCAATATTCTTGACAGATCCCAATGAAAAAAGCAGGAGACACGAGCACCACCTGAAAACTGCTGCGAAGTCACTTGATCTTTATAAGTCGAGGTTTGCTGGAAATTGTGAAACGCTGACAGCATTGTAGATGGAGCGATAATATACCGCAAGAGGGAAATCTCTGTCAGTTTGGGGTTTTTGAACTCCTCTAAAATGTAAAGATATTCATGTAATCGCTAGAGGTCTTATTAGGATCCCACAGTGGGGCCAATTAGAGGGGTGTCATCGGGGTCTGGAGGTGTAAGTGCTCTTGGGGACCCTCTGAGGATTTGCTCTGTGCTGTCCTGCGCGCGTCTCTAATGACTGCTCAGCAGAGAGTCCGGGCTTGTGCCGAAGTCTCGTCCCTGCTCCCCTGTGTCTCTCCGCCGACTTTTTATACATCCTGGTGAGAAGAAGACAAAAGTTTCAAGCTGGAGGCACTATCCAGGACAATGGGGGAAAATCTGATCTATGGAAGGAGAATTATAATTTTCCTCAAATTAAGACAAAATCTGTGTTTGCATGCAGAGCTAGGAAAGTTTTCTAAAAAAGAAAAACCACACATACATTACAGCACTCTTTCTCTCCAGGGATTTCTGCGTTGCAGCCGACAATGTGCCCTTTCCTCTTTGTTTGCCTCCATGTGCATTCTTTAAAGAAAAAGAAAGAGGAATCACATTTCAGCAACTAACATTTATTTAATTGATTATAAACAACAAGTAAACAGGCCTTTTCTGTTTAACACAGAAAAAGCCTGATTAACTGTATTGGACCCCAATAAAAAACTGGACTAAAATCTGTTGAGGTCATCCTAATTGAATATACAAATAAAACAACAAATCTGTACACATGTACTGTACTATTTGCATATGATTTATTCAAAACACTTTCAACAGAATAACAATAACTGTTAACTAATAAAAATGATGCGTTTTTACTTGTTGCTTGAAAGCCCTTTCCCGGGCCAGGTCTCTGTCGATGCTTATCAGTTGCATCTTCTCTCTGGGCGATAGACTGAAGAAGATGTCATGTATCTCGTACCGAGCAGCGCGAAGCTAAAGACAGACATTTAAAATCAGGTAATTATTTGTATTGTCAATCATCAACAAAGTAAATGCATCATACTTGTAGCGTTACTCTCTCTTGCAGAAAAAGGTCTTGTCTGGACGGCAGCCCTTTGTTGGGGCTGTGCTTCTGAAAGGCCTGTAAAAACTGATGCGTGTCCTGTAGCGAAAACACACCAGAGTAATAACGGTGTCAGCCTTTTAGTTTATAAACCGTATTTACTTACCCTGGCAGTGCGGACCAGCTGGGCCACTCTTTCAGTCTTCAGCAGCCTGCGCGTCAGAAAGCCCTTTGCGATGGCAGACAGCAGGTGGCGATAGTGCACAGGGAGCGGGAGCTGTGTGTGAATAATGAGGACCAGAGGGGAAGAGAGAGGAGAATGCTAATACCATCAATGACATCCAATTAATTTCCTGCAAAGATTCTCAAGGTCCTTTGTTGGCATCTGTTTAGGGCATCAATGGAAGCAGCCGTATAGTTCATCATTTTAATAGGATATAATAAGCTGAATAATGAGCAGGCGATGCTCTTTTCTTACACTTGTTGATTGTACCAGTGTAGTGCAAAAGGGCAGGGCTGTGGTAATGAAGCTGCTATAGCGAAACACATACAGTAATATGGACAACAAAGCAAAACAAGTCTAGATTTGACTTTTTTTTGCACATCTTTGTGAATAAACCTACATGTGATGAATACAAATCCTCTTCATTCAAGGGTAAAGGGTCAAACTGGTGCATTAGTGACATGAGTGAATGAATGTGATGCAAATACCTGAGAGAGGGTTGGAAAGGTCAGTGTGTCCCCAAGACGTGAGGTGGACACGGAACAGGGCAAGGACACGCTCTGGAGAAGACTGTAACGCACTGCCAACGCCTGAAAAGAAACAGACGCACCAGAGTGACCCAAAGAGTCGCGGATGTGTGCACTGGCAGGCGGGCGTACATTTGGGAGCAGGCAAGGTTGAAAAATATTGAATTGGAAAGGACAGCAAATGAGGCGGGAGGCAAAAATTAATTGAGGGTAGAGAGGAAAGAGAGATGGGACATAGGCGCAGGAGAGGACTGACAGGGAGGGAAATTAATACGGCAGTGGAGTAAAAATGAGAGTGGAAAAGGTAGGAGGCAAAACAAAAGAAGGGAAAAGAGGGCTGTGAAAAAAAGAACCATTAGGGTGTACGATCTGGCACTCAACCACAGACGCTCATGAATTAAACAAATTATCCTTTTTTTCTGTGTCAATTCCCCTGGTCCCACTCCTCCCATGACCACCGAGGGCACCTGTTTGGTCTCTCATCATACCCATGATGGAGCGAAGTCAAACAGGAGGTCTTTTTTTAAACTGCTTATGTTAATTATATTGTTGTTAGGATACATTAATTAAACAGAGACAGCGATTAATAGGGCAAGGACACTGGCCAAGAACAAATACAGACACGAGCCGAAGAAAACCAGGACAAGCTGCCAAAGCGAAGCACGTGTCCTTGAAGTATTGCACACGCGCGCGCTCACACATACAGGAACCAGAACAGGCGACCATGCCAGCTTGACTCTTAGGATGTAATGAAACATTTATGGTAGAATCGCTGTGCTTTCCTTTATCACTGGGGAGAGTCTGAAGGTCCTGTCTAATGAACAGATGTCTGTAGTCTGCCCACAACCCAGGTCTCCAAGCCCATTTCAACAGGTATGGAGCCATATGTACAGTATGTGTACATGTATTATATTAATGGGTTAGGGCAGCGTAGAGAGCACTCTTACTGCAATAGTGAAGCACTGCATGTACCCATCTTTCTCGGTCTGTTTCGAAAAAAAAAATGGAAACAGTGGGCTCAACATTAATTTTTAATTTTTTGCTCGTAGGTGACTTTTGGTGGTGTCAAAGCGATGGGGAGTGAATTATAGCGGCTGTACCGGAAAGATGTAGTGCTTCATCTGTGCTCCGGGATGATGCAATCTAATGCAAAAAGGTGGCAACAGGGACAGAGGACCACACTGTTTTACTTATGTCTCCTTCATGTCTTACAGGGTGTGCCTTTGTTTGTTTCAACTTTTATTTTTTGGTGATTATCAAGTCATTTTTTAGATTTCTTTCTTACTCGTGTGCCGTAATTTTTATTTTTATTTGATTAACAAATGGTAATGATGTGTTGCTGTTTATTGCATGATTAATGAGAATAGAAAATCATTTTAGTTTAATTGTATTAGTTCAAGTGCATTATGCATAATTAAACAAAAGTCTACAAGGTTCGAGATGTGGCAGCGCCTGGTATCACAAAAAAGAATTTGAGTGACGAGTGACTAAAAGTCTCCACAAAATGGGGCCTTTGGGAAACTGACTCAAAAAATGTCAACGTAGCCACATATGAGCAGGCATACAGTTTTACTCCCTGAACGTTAACGTCAACCTTTTTGACGCTACAATAAACTATTAAACATTTGATAGTCTCTGAACAAAAATGGCAAAATAACTCATAACTTAGGCCACATTGTTACTGTCAAAATGGAGTGAATTAGACTGCAAGCCCGCAGGAAGTAAGCTCTTTGTGCCGTGGTCACAAGTTACTACTATAACAATGCATTTACAGTCAGATATTCAACATGGTTATTATAATGCACCTGTAGAAGTTGTTCCTGCTGTCGTTGGTGCTGGTCCTGAAGCGCCCTGATCTGAGCTGCGTGGATCTGTCTCAGTTGTGCCTGTCTTTCCTTCACACCGTCGAGGCCTTCATGCCACTGCGCAGCAGCTACACATCATTGAACACAGCACATGGTCAAAAATGAAGATTAATGACTGTTTTCTCTGGTTGGTGAGAGGGATTTATCATCTGACACAGCCCATACACTTGGGTCATGATTATGATGTGACAACCCAAGTAGGAACAAGTCACACAAAGCTAATGTTAAAAAACAAATAGCTGCCAGTCCTAGACATCTACAGCCCGTCTCTCCGGGCAATTGGATCTCTGCTTCACTGTGCTTCTCCCAGAAGTTTGCTTTTGCTTTACTGTCTAAGAAGGAGGATCCAAAGATAGGGATGGCTCTAGGAATTTTCTCTATTTACTATTAGACTATTATGTCTATGAACAAGGGTATAGTTGGTCATTTGTCTTCTAATTTGCCTATGGTGAAGAACATTTGAGAAGAACACTTTTCGTTGTAAGGACGACAAATCCTTAATTTTGTCTATGATTTAATAACACATATTAATTGTGCTTTTTTGTGGTACTTGAGTCATAACATTTGATTACATCACTGATTACATCTTTGTACCTTAGGTGTACTTACTTGACAATTTGTCTTCAATAATACATATAATATAACTTCAATACTCCCTGAAAGATTTTGTAAAGCTCTTTGAGACAAAATGTTATTGAAATTTAGTTCAAACCAAAGATAAGTTGATTTGATGTAATAAAATACTCTTGACTGACCCTTGGATGTGCTGGCTCTCCTTTCCGCCTGCTCGTCTTCTTTCGCCGGGATGCCTTCGGTCATCTGCAGCCTCCGTTTCACCTTTGAGCGCTGGCCTTCACCTCCGCTCTCTGGTGTCATGTGCTTCTCCTCGAACAAACAGTTCAGCCACAACTCAGAGGGGGTGTCCACGTCGTAGGATTGGTTGAGAGACGTGCAGCTAGAGTCATGGCCTACGTCTGAATCAGTTTTTCCATTTTGGTCACTTGCATCCGATAAAACAGGTTGATTTTTTTGCGTTGTGGTTTCCACAAGACATGTTCTAAATGCGCCAGGAATGCGCATCTTCTGTCCTGTAGAAAGGCTAGACTTGGCTGATGGAGGCCTTCTAATATTCTGGGTATGTGTTAGTCCTGTGTGATCTTTCTCTCCACTGGCTGTTTTAACAAGCTGTTGGGAAGGAACCGTCTTTGTTTTGATCTCAACAAGTGGAGATTTGTCATTGTTGCCTTTAAAGATTTCTGGCAAATGGCTTTTCTGTGCATGAACATCACCCAATGAATTAAGTGAATCGTTCTGGCTTGTTGACGTTTGCTGACTCTCACTTTGGCTGCTTCTTGTATCCACGTTCTCTGTCAGTGTGGACTCCAAATCTGAGATCAGCACTTTGAGGCCAGACAAGTTGAACTCCAGCTGATCTATGTGCTGCGAGCTCTTGGCTAAAACACTTGTTACATCACTCCCCACATCATTCACAGGCGAAGTGCTGCTGTTATCTTCTCTAACCTTGTTGTTATTCATGGACATATTGATCACAACGCTTTTTTGAGAAGTTTTATCAAAAGGTGCAGAGGGGCTTTTGACTTTACAGGGAACAGGACTCTTGCAAAAATTCAGGGCAGGGATGTCGTGATATTTCTTCACATTGGTCAAATCTGTTGGGGAGGTATTGGCACTACTTTCACTGCTTTTGCACACATCCTCTGTCCATATTGGTGCCGGCGACGAAACATTTCTCTGCTCACCTCTGTTAACCCAATTATTCATCTTAATGAAGTTGCTGCTTTCATAGTTATGATCTAAAACACAGTCTTGCGCATGGTTATCAATTGTTAAGTGGGGCTTGTCATAGATGTTATCACTTCTCCTGTCACTTTCATAGGATCTCTTCAATGATTGGTCAACAATGGAACTATGGCTCCTCTCTTGACTATTCCTTGGCTCTGTCCCTTTGGTGTGGTGCTCATCATTCTCCTTATCAGATAGGCTCTGCTCCTCTGACTTTGGCTGATCTTGAGCTCTGTCCTGAATTTTAGCACTTTTACCCTGGTTCCGAAGCATACGCTGCCGCTGGCGACACTCCTGAGATTTTTTCAGTAAGGCCTGTAGACTCATTCGATAATGCTCCTCTGATGGCTTTGAGTCCGTATCTTCAGTCTGCATTGTTTCACTGAGTGGAGTGTGTTTTTCTTTGAGGCTATTAGGTAATTGTGTGACTGTTGGTAGGTTTGTAAGGTCATCTGCTACCTTTAATTCTTGATCATTCCCACTTGGTAACTGTGAATATTCTTTGTGTTTATTTTTCACTGATTGGGAATCGTCTGCTGACCGGACATCAATAAAAGAGATGCTTTCAGGATTTTCAGCCCTCAAATCAATACCAAAAGATGCTTCATGACCACTCCTCTCCAACTCTTCACCATCAACTGGGGGATAGTTAATAATATAAGGCACCTCTTTTAGTGTTGCCAAAGATTTATGGTTGGAAAATAATTCAACATAAATTCTGTGACTACATTTGGCACTGACAGCGTTATCATTTGTGAAGAGATCATAACTGGGAGATATTTGGTGACTGTCAGCCTTAAAACAGGAATCTAAACCTGGATCACCAACTTGAGGAAAGTTATGTCTCATTAGAGGTAAATGCAAGGTCTCGGGTGAACAACAGGTTGTTGATGTGAGCGGATGGACACTTTCCACAACCATTTCTGTTGGGGTAAAAGGTAAGGAGAGACTTTCGTTTGCGCAAGGGCCTTGAGACAATGATCCATTGTCACCAGGTAATGATTGATTGTCAATTTCTGATTCTTTGAGGAGCTCTTCTAGTGTAGGCGTTTTTCTTATCTGAAACAGAATTTACAAAATGAAAAAAATTACTTTTATAATTTTGTACTGGCAACAGTAGAGTGATAAATATTGTAATAAGTTAAATTAAAAAATTAAAACTTAAGAAACTCTTGAGGTGTCAGTGGTTTTTGAGTAATGTATTTTGAAATAGTCAAAGGTGAAACCCAGTAACTGAATAAAAGTAACTACTTTAATCAAAAACAGAATACATAGAAGAAAATGTAATAAAAATGTAGGGAGAAAGTAAAATGTATAGTAAGTGTCCTGGATTTAGGAGCTTGTGTATAAATTCTGCTACTTTGCGGCCATAAGGGTTAAGTCTACCTTAATGAAAATAATAATATATTATTTGAGTAAAGACTCTATGTTCCAGATCTTATTTTTATGTTGCAGAGTGGGTAGCACTCAAGCTTCACAGCAAGAAAGTTTTGAGTTCAATCCCTTGTCAACCTGGGTCTTTCTCTGTGGAGTATGGATTTTTCTCCCTGTGTCAGGGTGTCTGTCTTATACGAGGTTGAAAAAGAACTTTACAAGAGCAAGGTATTTGTAATCTTCTCCATGTATGAATAAGTCTGTAGGCAACTACTGAACGGTTTGGCTCGGAATAAAGGGGTTAACTCAGGAGTTTCTCCTTTAGTTCCATATATGAATACTGCACATACTGAAAATGTAAACAGATTACTATTCTTTCTGGTTCCATACCTAATCATTATTATTTAATATCATTCTTATAACACTTACATCAACACTCCGCAGAATCGTTTGGACATAGGACATTCTTGGATCATCCTTGTGGTTCCTGTTTGCTGCAGCTGTTTGTGCAGCCTCTTTGAGTCTGGTCATCTCCTTCTTCTGTGCCTCTGAGACCTTGTTATCAGCACACAACATGAGCACGATTAGTTTAAAGATTTCAACTAGCAACATTTCCGATGACACATATGAGGAATTATATCTGCACATATGGCATATAAACACAGCACGTGGTAAATTCTTAATATTTACAGCTTCATATGAAGAAGAGGTCATCCCAATGCTTAAGCAAACAGAATACAGGCCTACCAGAGGAGGGAGGATAGGTCGACCGTAGAAGCAGATTAAAGAAGGTACTTTCGGTTTGTCTTCAACAGTATCTTCAGTCATTTTTAGCTGAGATAAACGCAACTCCACAAACTTCTCGTAGTCCTCCATGACACTTGGTGAACAGTTAAGGCTGACAGAATGCTAGTATCTGTAATGGTTGCTATGGTAAATTATCTTGCTAGCTAGTGTTGTTGTTAGCTGTCAAAGAGCTAGCCCATGAAGTGTGAAGTTTATAAGGCATTCGGTTCCTCTCTCCCTCTCTACACTTGGACTTGTATACATAAGAGTAAATATAACAAATAAAACTCAGTAGTTCAGAAAAGAAACACTTATTTCTCCCAGGCGCTGTCTTCTCGGTTTAGATACATGTTTACATTTTACCCGCCTCTCTTCCCACCGACAGTTCACGCAGGCGCAGTTCGCAGCGGTGCGCGCAAAACCCGGACTGGAGTAAAAGGACCGGATGGCTTTCATTTACAGTGTGATTTCAGAAATGTGTGTCACTCTAGCTGCGTTAGTGTTTAAATACATTTATTATTTTAAATTTGGAGCAGAGACAGTAACGTTACCTACTTGAAGAATGTAGCGTTAAATTAGCATATAATCAGCTAGCTAGCGAGCCACAGCAGCTATTGGTTTTCGGACTTTTATTGGTCCAACTTTTATATGGGCAAAACTTTTAAGGCTTAAGGTAACGCTACATACTCTTTAATTCTAATGGCACAGAGTAGAGTTAGAAAAACATATCCCAATTTTTTGTCATGGATTCATAACCATCTTGATTAATTTGTTACTTCCTTACACCAAAGCTGAGCCGGGTCGCAACATTTGCATAGCTTACCTGTATTGCACATGGATCTATAATAATAACGGTATTGCAGCTTCATTCTTAATTGGCAACATTGATTATGTTGATATTAGTACAACAATACTAAATCAAACAAACAGATTCCTGCATTATTTTTTACAGGTTTATTAATCATATACAAAATAATTTACGCTGTTTATTAACAAACATACATTATATACAGTACGCCAATAAATTAAAAAGATGCATCAGACCCATAAAGAACAACAGTTATTCTTCAGATTACCACCTTATTACTACTTACTGTATCAATAAATTAATTTAAAAAAAACAATATTTCATGTGATAAATACTTACAAAGACTGTCACATTTTAAGTATTTTCCCGCACAGAAACTACAATTGGATAATAATCTATTACATCCCCATACATAAATATACAAAACATTGACTTTCCTATTATAGGACAAGGGCATTTCAAGAAGACAGAACCATTTTCACATATATAAGTTTTGAATTTCTCAAGGAACAAAAATATACCAATTGACTTTTGAATGTGGTGTTGTTTAAACAGGGATGAGTTGGATGCCAAGCTGCCTACATGGATGGTGTGATGGGTGTAAGAAGAAAGAAGCATTACAATCAGTAAGTTTGAACGATCAAAAGAAACCTTGGATCATTTGTTCTAATCGATCCACACTGTCAGTGGGTGAGAGGGCTTTTAGAGGTGGCGTGATACAACAGCCAGGCAAACAACATTGCGATGACTCTCTGATTGGCCGAGCAGCAGGATAAGAAGTTAATGATTTGCATCCTCTATCATCAGATGTTTGGAAGAAGGGCTTGGTCACCCGCTGTTTAAGTTGTACAAACATTTTGTGGATTAAGTGAAGTAGGAAATGGTTTGGCGTTCTCAAAATCCTTCCTGCAACAATAAAATATGTATGAATGTGGTCCAGAAGTGGTTCCATGGGTTTCTGATGAGACAACTTTTCATGAGTTTTCATGCAGAAAGTGGAGAATGAGGTCAGTGTGTTTCAATTATACACACAGGTGATTATCACGGAAGTTGGATGAGTCTTTGACCAATTGGACTTTTTAAAATGAAAACACAGCCACAATAAACGCAATTTGGAAGACAAAATAAGAGACAAATTAACATTACACCAGTGCTACACTTTTGCATCTTGTTGACTTCCTCTGACGTTACTTAAAAGCCGAGAAGGAACTCAAAGGAATAAGCCGCAAAACATATCGCCAGAGTTAATAGCAGTTAACACACTGTGAGCCAGAACACACTTTTGCATAAGACAACTAATTAACACAATTTTTGCACCTTATGAAAAACCCTCAACATTTAATATTCTTCCTTTTAACAGCAAGACACATGTAAATCTCTTTTTTTCATATAGGGTTTGACTAATTTAATTTTTTGCACAGGTTCTTCACTGCTCACATAATCAGTGCTTGGGTCTGGCACAGACTACACCACTATCAGGTAACCCAGTTGCAATAAGTTATAAATTATTGAATGATACATACAATTCTTAATTTTCACTTGACACTTTGTACAACTCTGGTTTTATGGCTGACTGGATATGCAAATGCATAATGTTCAAAAGATTACGGGAACTTAAAAAAATCTTCCTTTGTTATTCCCAATTCAGTTCATTTGCATTAATAAAGAAGATTTTGTTAATCTTAATAAGCACACAGCTGTCTACTTAAGCCTCCTCACAATGGAAAATTAAGGTTCACTTATTGTTGAAAGGAAACAGTGTTTGAATGAAATATTTTAGTTAAAACAAACTTAATGTATAAAAATAACAATTATTTGGATGCAACTTTAAATAAATTAAACATTTTAGACATGGCAATGAAATAGGTTTACATAATTGAAAAAGAAATCACAAAATACATCGATTGTATTACTTCTCCTCACAATACAAAATGTGTTTAACCAATTCTAACATTAAACATATAAAATATACACACCAAAAAACCGTTGTAACATTCTACAAAAAACAGGGGTTTAATTTAATACAACTGTCATCTTATCCACTAATACCACAGCCACCACCACTGGTATTACTCAAGTCCTTCAAGGTATAGTATATGAAAGAAGGAATTGAAAACTGTGCTTGGGGTCTGAATTATTGTCAACTTTGAGACAGAGAAAATGAACAGGTGCATGCCCCACTTTTCATCTACGATTGGTTTCGTCTGCGTCCGTTTTCTAGTCCTGCTTTGAAATAGCAGTATTTCCAGACTGTAGAATAAAGATATAGACGTTGGGCTACGTGTCAATATCCGAACACAGTTCATAGCCAGCGCCATCAAAATAGTCAACATTATTATTACCTCATCACAGAACCTACACAGCACACACTGGTTCACATTTATACACACATTCCTAGTCACTACAGGGAAAACAAAGCTATTCAGTAGTTAAGCCACTTTTGGTACAGTTGCAAAATAGAGAGACTGTATATCAAACAGATTCTGTTATACCAATTTTTACAGTTCATTACAAACAAGAAGATTATAGCCTTTATAAAACTCCAGACTCCACCATACATAGACAAAGATTCTCTAAGTATATAACACCATATAAGACTAGCTATGATAAAGCTTGTGTGACACGGACATAAAATTATCTGTGATAAAAGCCTGAAATGTCCCTTTATCAAATCTGTCATGTGTATGTGTTTTAGACTAGTCAATTCCATTAACCTACCAATCATATATATATAATCATGTATGAGGACCCTACCCAAAGACATGGGATGTAAAGTTGTTCATCTACATCTCGCCTTTAACTTTTTGCCCTTCTGTCCCTTTGATTTAGTTCTAATGCATTTTGTATCAAACAAGGCACTTGCCCTTCGAAATTCCAGATAAGATAAGAGTTTGGTTGTATTTTAGTGAGCACACAAACAAATACACATTGTCAAATCTCTATAGGGCAATGGAAGCCAGGAGGATTTCAACAGTTGTAAAACAGGTATTGAGAAAGCTGCACAGAAAGTGAAGAGACAAAAAAAATACGGCTAACTAAATATAGCAATACTGGACCAAATACAAGCCACAGAATTTCACAGAATTCCTGATAAATATCAATTCACACACAGAGAATACACATTGGACCTCATGTGAATGACAACACAGTACAAAACAGTAGAAATACACTTACCACCATTGTGTAATATACTATATAATTGATCTAGGTCTTTCCCAAAAAGTTCTTGGTTTGGGCAAGCAAGATGAGAATTCACTGGTACTATTCCAATCAGCTGCACGGTCACAGAGTGTCTGGCAAAATGAGATAGTCCCAATGTCTTACAGCATACAGAGGTGTGTCGTGGTATTTTGAATCAAAATCAAGTAAATTCATGGATGTAAATTGTTGTTTTGATTTGTTTTTGGGCATATTGCTTTGGGAATTTGTTTTGGGTTTTATCATATCAACCCTGTGTTGTCCCTGTGCTAAAAATAATAAAGTCCACAGTCTCAAACCACTGCTGCTTCACATTGTCTTTACTGTACTGACCTCAAGAGTCATGGATGTTCTACAGAGCAGAAAAGCTGTCAAACTAACGGCTGTTTTCCCTCTTGACCTCAGATGATAATTTATATTGCTCATATAAAACCTTAAATTATATAAAACAGTAATATCTTGATTTGCCTTTTGCCACCATTATTACTGTCAACACGTTTGATTGTAATGATTTAAGTGCAATAGCCTCTGTGAACATGTGATGATTGAAAGACCACATGAATAGATCAAGACACTGTCGTCTCATTGGCCTACGTTAATTCAAACACTCTACCCTGTTCTATAGTACATCCACAGTCAGTGCAGGTCAGGGGCAGGACACAGAGGCGACCGGACGTAGCTGAACTCCATCTCCACCTACCCTCATCCTGCTCCCCTCTCTCAAGACCGTGCGTCTGTTTTGGACTTAACTATAGTGATCACACTGGTTGCGGTGGCCATCTTCCCGGGTATGAGTGGACCAATGACCGACGAGGGCACACCTCCGCCTCCCCCTCCAGCTCGCACTCCGACTCCCACCGACGGGCTTCGTGCCACAGTCCGGGCGAAGGTCTGTAATGCCTCATACTTGGACCTTAGCGCGTCAAGCTCAACTCGCATTGATGCGTTCTCGTTGGCCAGTTTGTCCACCTCTTGCTGCAGCTGCGCCTTCTGCTTTTCCAGCTCTTCCTTCTGCGTTACTCTCTTCACTCGGCAGCTTGCGGCGTAGCCTCTGTTCTTCAGGGTCCGCCGGCGCTGCTTCAGTTGGAGGATTTCTTCTTTGGTGAGCCCCCGGAGGTGCTGGTTCAACTCTCGCACTGACATGGTCACCAGCTCCTCGTCCGTGAGACTGGTGCCATTCTCCCCTGGCTCACGCTTCACCTGTCAAAAACATGAATACAAAATTAGAAATTGTTATACTACTAAGTACAACATGTGTCTTACCTTTAAGGCTTTGTTTCCTTTGTTCGCCGTCGTCATGCCCCAAGAGCCTAGCTCCTCTGAACAGACCTGTAAGACATATGTACGGTTCATTTGATCTTCTGAATCATTGGAAACATACAGGTTCTATTTTGCTGTGGCTAGATAAGCCTTCTCCTAAAATTGGACAATAACCCACCAGAATAATCTGTGACCAGATCTTCCTTTTAGGCACTATCTTGTATGTGAGTGTAGGAGTGAAAGTGACAAGTAAACTTTTTGTAGAATTTCCCTGACTTCCTGTTTCCTGGTGGTTTCACTAACAGTGCCCACTACCTTGTAATCTTGAACGGTTATTGGTTGATTTCAGGCCAATCATAGAGAAATGAGCATAAAGTAAAAGGAAGTGGTAAAAACTGTGGGAACAATTCCAGGGGAAAACCAACTGTTTCAACTGAAATATACAAAAAACAGATCTCAGTGTGGTGTAGCAGGTGTCACAGAATAAAGCTACAAACAAGACAGTTATCATGTGTGCACTACTGTAAACAAAAGACAAAAGGATGCAGAGACTGAAGTGTGAGTCACATATCGACAAAGACATCAGCGAAGTTCAAAGATGAGGTCAGTCCTTAGAGCGGGCGGCTCCAGTGATGAGCCTCCTCTCTCTGTTCAATGCCAGGCATTGTCTGTGCTCTCCTCTGTCAGACCTCAGGCCGCTGTATGCAGAGGGAAGGCCAGCTATTGTTGCTGCTGCTGCTGCTGAGCGATCATCATGAAACCAGTCATGATGACTAAGCAGATTCCTCTCCTCACTCTCCCTGCTCTTCTTGCAACACACATTTTTACTTTCCTCTGTCACTTTCTGCTTCCCTCCTCTCTGTATTTACACCCTTCTACTGCTCAAAGTTTTCAGGCCTTGACTTGCTATGTCAACATATGTAGCATGTCTGTTTAACAGACAAAAAGTGGTTGTCCTCAAAGCTGTTGTCCTCAAAGCATGAAACCTGCTTTAGCCCAACTGCCACCACACCTGATAGTGCTGAGTCAGGACTTTAGTTAAACTGATCCGCTGAGTCAACACTCTGTACAGTTTGCGCAGAGTTTGAATGGCACACACTGCTGTGCACAGCCCACCTCAAACATTTCCAAAGGCATTCATGGGCCTAATCACAAATGATTATTGTGTCTAATCTACAATAAATGTGTCTTTCCAAGCATGAACATCAGGGAATGTTATTGTATAAACAAGTGCAGATTCACGTGGTTTAGAAACATAGAAATGTACAAATTAAACAAGGCGATGACATTAATAATTCCAGACCTAAATGTGTAGTGCTTGTTTACACACAAACATACTTCTTTGAACAATTATTACTTAAATGTACTTGGCATGGACATGGCTGCAAGACTATCTGCACTCATATGTCTAAAAGGGAATTTGCCTTGTTACTTTTAGAAGATACATTTTAACTGAATGCAGCTGCTTACCATTTTCTCTGACAGCATACATGTAATCCTGCATAGTTAGGACATGGCCGTTTTAGTGATGGTGCGGTGCTATTACACCAAATTAAGGTGCTTAAATATTAACCTAATGTTTACGGTTATTCCAAATAAATATTGTGAGTACGTGGGTGCATTTTCTTGTACCAATGTCTTATTTTCTCTTGTGTTTTGTTTAGATGCTGCAAACCTCCCACAGCTCGAGGTGCAACGACGCACAATGGATGGATCAAAGGCATGACGACTGAGGTTGGTTGTTGGGGGTGGGGGTGACAGCATGTAGAGGGTGGGGGGTGGTGGTGATAGAACAAAACTAGGGGCAAAAAGGATGCTGTATCGCTGGCAGGCATGGGCTTATTTCCCCTGCGCCCAAACCACAGCCCACCTCACCCATCATCTACATACAAACAAAAAGCATGTTACGCACTCCCCTGCCGACATGCCAGTGGGGCTCAATAAAACACACAAATGTGAAACAATATTTATTTTTAGAAGCTGCACACAGTAAATATATATGCATGTTTTACATCGCATCAATTTATGTTAGATGGTAGACAATAAGATGATTCATTGATGCCATTGTGCTCTGTAGGCATGTACTGTAGGGAGAGGGACTATTGGCTAATACAAATACATACATGTAATGGTGAAGAATAAAGCTTTGGCATTTATTTGTCTTTTAAGATTTCTCCGTATTTACTAATCCTGATTTAGAGAAATGATAAAAGGCTCAGGGGACAACTTTGTTCTTATGCAGTAGAGCTGTTGTGATCAAGCTGTTATGTTCATGCTGTTAAACTGCGGTAAACTAGTTTGTGTGTGTTCTCTGAGAGATGAGGCACTGCGTATAAGAAATCAAGGTCAAAGTTCAGGTGCTGACCACAGGCAGAACATTCATCTTAAGCATTCAGAGGCCACCAGAGGTGTCCTTCCCATAATGCAATGCTGGCGAGGTGGTCGTTGGGTTGTGGTCAATGCCACAGCTACTGTTGCTACAACAGACAGCTCTTTTGCTGTTGATGCTGTATTTTTTTATAGAGCAGCTAAAAGAGCGCTGACGATTCAAGAGAAAGGACACTTATAGTTACACACAACAGACACACACAAGCGCACGAGCGCACGCACACGCACGCACGCACACACACATGCACACGCACACGCACACACACACACACACACACTAGTGAGGACAGGGGATGGAGAATGTGCAGATAATAAGTTCAGTTCAGGGAATAGATTACCTACATGCAAGAATATTGAATTTTACCCCCACAACTTTCAGCCTTGCTTTAGTCTCAGCTAAGCTTTGGTTTAGTCATATTGGTTCTAGTTTAGTTTAAGCGTTAGTTTTGACATGATTTAAGTCTTCAGTTCTGGTTGGATACACTTTGATTGCAGACTGATGTGGGTTTGGCATGGTTAGCCCTGTCTCTTCTTGTGTCAGCACTACTGAACGGAACAGTGAATAGTTTTAGTTTATTGTAAGATCCATGAGCCAATAGAACAATCTTACAAGGTTATACATAAACTGTACAACTAAAGACAAAAAGAAGTGAGCTTCGTGCCGACCTGTTCAAAGATGAAGGGAAAGTGCTGGTGATAGTCAGGTAAAGACAGGCTAATAAACGGGGGTGAACGGCGAACGAAAGAATGCTGACGTCTCCAGAGCTGATTAGCGTTACAGCGGAGACATCACACCCACAGCCCAGAAAATTGCTGAGTATGGCGGGAGGACGGGCGGGGGGCGGAGGGGGACTGGGGGTGCAAATGACAAGGGAGAAAGAAGAGAAGAAACAGAGAGGACCGGGACGAAGTGGAGAGGAGGGGGGGGGGGGGGGGGGGGGGTGTAAAAGCGTTTGGGTGAAAATGCATCCTCAACACATTTGTAAGAGCTTAGCTGTTGGCTACAGGGGGGGAGGCGGGGGGTGAAATGGATGGAGGGGGATTGGGGTCGAAAAAAAAGCCCTGATCTCAGCAACGACCACGACTAAAACCTCCAATTAGAAAAGTTCTGAAGCTTATCCAGGGCAATGAAACTAGTGCTGACCGTCTTACTGCAACCCGCGCGCTTTCTATTGGGGAAAGGTGATGCTGCCTGGTTTTACTCCCCAACTAATTCAAACTAATAGATTATTCTCCTGATTATTCCTTTGATAAACTGATCAGTTACAGATTTTTGTAATAAAATCAACAGAAATGAAGTTATAGGGATGTAGTTTTAGGATAATAGTATCAAACACATACATTTTTGTTGTAGTGAATAAATGAAAGATAAAAGATTTTATGATGGTTGCAAGTGAAATTTAGGAAGGAGGTGATGAAGACAATTGTGGCCGCACTTGAATTAGTAGCAACATAAAAAACTAAGAACTTTCTAAAGAAGTTATTTGGGAATTCTATTAAATTGAAACACATTTAATAAACCACTATGTGATAGAGTGAATGAATGCAAGATAGTGATAGATGTTATTTATTATACATACAGTCTACAAGCTTCAGATCACTTCAGTGACAATAGAACTCTCATGCTCGGTTTGGTATATTTGCTTTATTTTATTACTGGAAATGTTGATGAGTGTAAAATATTTCCTGATATTTGTCTGAGATGAAAAAATGTGTGTTATTGTATCATTTGTATAACAAAAGAGTTCAAAAAGTTCCTCAGTACCAAGAAATCATTTGACTGAAACCCACGCATGAATCAGATCGTGGAGGTATAATAATCATCTCCATGGACATAAGAAAGTGGCGGACCCTTCACCAGAAAGGTTACTTGGTGCAGCTAATGACTTGATAGAGTGTAGACTACAACATAATCTCATTCTGTGAGAGTGCGTAGTGCAGACGAGGAGGAAGCTGCTTCAGACAAGACTCTAATTAATCTTGTTTGGCCCAACTTATTCCTCCAGTCACTAGCATCACAGAACAAGGTCCTTCTTGGAAAGACACTTTACTACTTACAACCTGCTGGTGGCAATAGCTCCAGAGGCTGGCACGCATGCACACACACACACACATGCACACAGGAAATAAAAAGCCAGATTAGGCGCTTCCAACACAACCCTGAGGCTGGTAGTGCGGGGGTGTTCACAGGCATAACCAAGCCACAATATAGAGAAAGATCAAGAATAGATTGCCAAAGCCACAAGTTCTTTGCAATGTAGAAGAGAGACTTGTTGAATGATCAAACAATATCAACCGCCTTAACTGTTACATACTCCTTCAGGTCTCACTATCTGAACTGCAACCCTCCACAGAAAAGTAGACACTAAAGAAATTGACAAAATGATATCTGGCCGCGGTCCACCTCGTTTGTGCTTTAAATTATAAGCCTGGTACTCCTCATTGATCTAATGCGAGTGTGGAAGAGCTAGTAAATAATTAACCCGCAGCTCTGCATGGCACCTAATTGAGAATTAGGAATTGGATGAGGAAAGATTTTAGCCCAGGCACAAAGAGGGAAAGGAGGTGTTGCTATTCATCCATTTGAGGAAGTAATTAACTAGGAAGCAAGCAAAAAATAGAATACTTAATCTGTTTTACATTTCACTTATTGAAGGGGACAGAGTCTTCACTGATGTTTCTATTGCCAGACAGTATTTTTGTGTTTTATATTGAAGATTGTAGTTTTTGCACAATTTTATCAATAGGAATTTTCTCTACCCCCTTTTTTGCCAAGGGGAAAATATTATTAAGCCCATATAATATACAATAGACAAAAATGTTCCTATAAAAACTTGGTCTGCTTTGCTTTACCGTCTCATTCTATAAACTCTCACTTTCCTTCCAGGTGCTATCAGACCGTACAATGAACAACAAAGGCAAAAAAAACCCTGCCGACCTGACCTTACATGTCGTGTGTACAGTATGTGCAATAATGTCTGAATGTGCAATATGGGCCCACATGTGTCCACTGTCACTTTAGGTAACTAATCGCTTCCAGCCCAGAGCCTCATGCTGCTAACACACACTAAAATATTCTACTACCTTAATATTCATGCACTAGAGTGTATTACGGATTTATCCACAGATCTATACATACAATTAAATATTTCATAGACTTTTTTAGTTTTTAAATGAGAGTTGTGCTACACTTAATATACATTTATCTTGTGTGCTCCTCATTCCTACTGTTCTGTAACGTGATGCAACAATGAAATTTCCCCAATGTCGGACAAAAAAAAGAATCTTCATAAACTACTCAGGCTTTCATAAAAGGTGGCCTGGGGTTGACTGAGCTGTGGTTTTGTTTCCTGTTTTATATGTCAAATACAGATCATGCTATACAGCTCAAGGCCATGTTCAGTGAGAAAGACAGAACACGAGGAGTGGAAAAAAACACAACTTGGAAAGACGCAGAAGAAGGGACCTCACGCGCATATGATAATGTGTGTGGAGCAGAGAGAGCAGCTATCGCTTTCACACCTCTCCGAGTTCAAAAGAGGTATTGTGAGCGTACGCGCCTGCTTAGCTGTGTGCCTGAGTGTTTGTGCAAGTGTGTTATTAAAGGCGAGAAAAAGTCCTGGCGTAGACACGTTTTTCCCATTCCAGGTAGTAAGTCGGAGTGTGATGACAAATTTCCCAACACAAGCAAAAAAAAAACTGCACTGTCAGGGAGTTGAGTGCTGGCTCCTTTTTCATAAGACTTGTTTTTTTTTCAAGTGAGAAAGCTTGTAGTGTAGGTTAACTTTCCTTTATGTGTGATTGTAAGAGTGTGTGCAACCACAACCAGCCCTCCGAAAGAGAGAGAGAGACAGTCGCTTGGTAAATGACATGTTGACTTTATTCCCCCCACCAGACGCACGGCGCACTACGGTCAGCACTACAGAGTTAGGACAAAGAGAAAGTCGGAGAGCAGCAGGAAAGTTAACAGGGAACAAGTCTTTGGGGACACATTTATCACCAAGAGAAGCTTAATGAGAAATATATCAGCCATAACTTTTCTGCAAATACATGTGACTTTGGACAGAGAGGTGCGTTGGGTTATGAGCATCATTTATTTGTAGCCTAAGCCTGCACTTTTTGCACTTTTTTGCATCAGTGGGGGAAAAAAACAGCTTAGTGTCTTGAGCTAAATGTATACATGGGCAGTTTTACCAGTAAATAAAGAGAAAGAAAACATGTATTTATTAGTCAAAATGGGAAGTAAAAGAAAGTGAAGTAAGAAAACAAACTAAACCATAACTAAATTCAGCCAAAAAAATGACTGCTTGTTTTTGCATTTCAGCTAATATTGCAATATATATTATTTCCAATATATTGTGCAGCCTTAATGTGCCCTGTGTATTTTGTCTTTTGGAGAGTTCACTGTAGACTCTGGAATGTCTTATTGTATGGCATTAAACTTCAGTATTTCAACATTTTATCCAGTAATTTTATTCGTACTGGAAGCAGGCTCACCACTCTACAGATCTGTCCAACTTCTAAATCTAAATGGAGACAAGCAAGCTAAGAGGTTTGGGATATGTCCAGCAGAACAATCTAGCAGAGACAAGCTAGTGCCAATCAAGAAAAAATATTTTTGCTCTAACAATATTTAATCTTGTATAAATTAGATAAGATCAGATCATCTTTATTTGTCCCACAGTAGATTTACATTTTAGTGTGATGATCATTTAAAAAGTGTTTTTAAATGAATTATTTTGTTTTTTTCTTTGTTTTTTTCTATGTCCATAAACAACCCTACACCTCGGCAAAGGAAGTTTGGCATTTGCATTTTTGTTGCACTTTTAGTTCGCTCCTCCACTTTTCCTTTCTCTTGGTCATTTGCATTATCTATTATCCAATTCCATTTTCATTCCTCAAAACAAATTCATAACTCAGTTTTGGGTTCGTCACACTGCAGTTGGAAAATGCGGCAAGTTGGCGCATAAAGATGATGCAACTGGTAGACAACCGCCGGCCTGGATCCTCCTGTTACCAAAGCCTTGCATCTTCACCGCTACACGCCACTCTCAATATCTCATGCTAAACTAAATTATAGCTCTATATAAACTATTTGTCTGTGCGAGGAGTTTCGTTCTGGGCCTTAAAACTCTAGAGGCCCCAGAGAAGAAGGCAGATCGGTTTCAAAGTATGCTCATTAGTTCCTATTGATATAGAAAAGTGTACTACCATAATCATTACAGTACACCGCAGTAAACGTACTCTAAGTTTGGATCGATGCGACTTTTCCAATTGTTATGCCTCTCGTGACTCCTTTTTTCTGATGAATAGTACTTTTCTCATCGTACATGGGAATCTGGAATTAAGTCATATTTGACATACATTTATAATCACACAAGGACATGCCTCTTGAACACTTAAAAAGACGCACAGAGCAATGATTATGCGCCCGATCTGCTTACACAGTATTTCATCATTATTGTGGAGAAGAAAAAAAAAAACACTCAACTATTGATCTGCCCCAGTGCTTTCCTATCTCTCGCCTCTGCTCAGGCTCTTGCTTTTTCACAAACTTACAAGTATAACAAGACTTTTTTCTTCCCCCAAATGGATTCCCACTTGTAAACAAGACCAGAAACGGCACGGCTTAAAAATTATCTCTGCGAAACTGGATGTGAAACAAACATTCAGAGAGGAGGTGGTGGTGGACGCTAATCACCTGTGCAATCGAACGCAATCCTGAACAGTAACTCGGCAATGGGTGCCTTCGTCCAGCTTTCTCTTTCATCCTTCACCAGAGGGAAGATATAACAGTGCTACTACAAAATCTTGACTGCCAAGTTCTCCTTTGTTTCAAATGTTGATGCAGATTTATTTCAGTCAAGACTTGAGAAAGGAAATATTTGACGGATTTGTATTTGTGCTGAAACTTTGTTCAAAAGTCTGTGATAGCAAGAAATGAGGTGAAGGAGTTATAATGGCTCTAAACAGTATTATCAATTTAATTCTATGCAGTATGAAATTTAGTAAATGTAGGTGAAATT